TCAAACTATTGTGAAAATAATTTAAGAAATTAAAGGACTAAGAAATAAATTAATGAAGGCAATTCAAGTTTCAAAAGAATATTCCAACAAGGAGATAGAGTTTCAAAAAAAATAACAAAGTAGAAAATTTAAAAATCATAAGTTTTATTAACTCAACTAAAATTCCAAATGGGAAGTATGGCCAATAAACTATGTCAGGAAGAATATTAAGTCTTGAAGACAAGGTAGATGAAGTAGAATTTTCATATAGTACTAAAAAGGAGAGACTTTTAAAACAATACACAATCATTCTAGGATAACTTTAAAAGACCAATTGAAGACTAAGGAATTGAAGGAAGGAGTGTCCATAAGGACTAATGAAATAGAAAACTTATGGTGAACTTAAACCAGAAAAATTTCCTTAATTGTGAGAACAAGTTGGACATCCAGGCACAGAAAACATTTAGAAGACCTGACAGACATGGCCAAAAAAGAACTTCTCAACATCATATTTGGGTTAAAATGACAAAATTCAGAGCAAAGAACGATTTTTACAAATTCAATAGAGAAGCACCAAGTTATTGATAAATGTTAATGTAGCTGGATAACTCTAAATGCCAGCAGAACATGCAATAATATACTTTAAGCACGGAAAGAAAAACACTGTAGTGGCACCTCCTCCTCCACAAATGCATCTTAATTAAGCTTCTCCAGAGACCCTAACCACAATTTTTCTTTTTAACAAAATATCAGCAAGGATCTCTGCAATAGGGCTCAACTATACTTACATGCTCTATTTCCTACTGCTCAGCTCTGTCATACAAAAACTAAATTTAACCACAAACCTAATGGATGTACTCTGCTTTTGTGGTATAATCTGCAAAATCCCAAACTGTTCTAATGTTATTTGTGGTATAATCTGCAAAATCCCAAACTGTTCTAAATGGACAATAGGTACCTTCTGAGAACTCAAAGAAAAAATTACTTTTAGTACACCTCCAAGCACCTCTGCCTACCACTGGGTATAAAGTTCAAAGAATGTCTAGACTTGGCATTAAGAGGGAGAATTTGTTTTAGGTGAAAGCCTCTGCTGGACAGGCTGCAGACAATAAACCTGCTTATGCCAATAAATAAATAAATAAATAAATAAATAAATAAAAATTAAAAATACTATAAATCAAATGGACCTTATAGGCACCTATAGAATATTTCATCCCAAAACAGCTAAATTAAATTTCTTCTTAGCTTCCCATGGAACCTTCTCCAAAACAGACCCTCTTTTAGGACACAAAGCAACTCTTAGCAAATACAAAAAAAATGAATATCATTCCTTGTATCTTATTGATCTTAATGGAATGAAATTAGAAATCAACACAAAAACAAACCCTATGGAAACTATATAAATACATAGAGATTGAACAATACACAAAGAGGTGGTTCTTTGAAAAGATAAACAAGGTTGATAAACCCTTATCCAAACTAACTAATATAAAGAGAGAATACCCAAATAAACAAAATTAGAGATGAACAAGGAGAAATCACCATGGACATAAGAGAAATCCAGAGGATCATTAGGGTCCACAGGGTCTATTTTAAAAACTTATACTACAAACCTAGAAGAAATGGGTAAATTTCTAGACACATACAACCTGCCAAAATTAAATCAAAAGGACACAGAAAATCTAAACAGATCAATAATTAGCAATGATATTGAAGCAATAATGCCTTCCATTAATAAATAAACAAATATATAATAATAAAGATAATAAATGAAAATTAATAAATAATAAATAATAAAGCCTTCCAAAAAAAGAGAAGTCTAGGACCAGAGGGATTCTCAGCTGAATTCTACAGACCTTTAAAAAAGAATTAATGCCAAAGTTTCTCAAATTACTCCATGAAAAGAAGGGGATGGAACACTTCCAAATTCATTCTATGAAGCCAGTATTACTCTCACCCAGACCAAATAAGGATTATATCAATAAAATAAAACTACAGACTAATGTCCCTGTTGAACTTAGATGAAAAAAATTCTTAATAAAATATAGCAAATCGTATCCAATACCATATTCAGAGATTGCACATTTTGACCAAGATGATTTCTTCCAGGGTTGAAGGATGGTTTAATCTACACAAATCAATACATGTAATTTACCACATAAATAGAATTAAAGGTTAAAAATAACATAGGCATCTCAATAGATGCAAAGAAAGCCTTTGATAAAATTCTAGCACCTGTTCATGATAAAATCACCAAGGAAGGTAGGGTTAGAAGAAATTCTATCCAGAGCAATTAGGCAAGAGAAAGAAATAAAAGAGATAAAAATTGGAAAGGAAGGAGTCAAATTATCACTGTTTGCAGATGATATGATCCTATAATTAGAAGATCCAAAATACTCCAATAGAAGACTGCTCAAGATAATAAACAAATTCAGAAAGGAATCAAGTTTACAAAATTATCTACAAAAATCAACAGCTTTCCTATATACCAATAATGAATCTGCTGAGAAAGAAATCAGGACTATAATCACATTAACAGAGGCCTAAAAAAAATTACCCAGTAACATCTAACCAAGGAGGTGCAAGACTTCTAGAATGAAAACTATAGAACATTGAAGAAAAATTGAACAAGACCTCAGAAGATGGAAATACTTCCTATGTTCATGGATAGGCAGAATTAATATTTTAAAATGGTCACATTACCAAAAAACTATAGATAGATTTAATGCAACCAATACTAATAACATTTTTCACAGCACTAGAAAAAAGCAGTCCTAAAATTTATTTGGAAGAATGAAAGACTCAGAATAGTCAAAGCAATTCTAAGTTAAAAAACAATGCTGGGGGCATCACAATACCTGGCTTCACTACAGAGTGATAGTAACAAAAACTGCATGGTACCTGCATAAAACAGATAAAACAGACCAATGGTACAGAATAAAAGACACACAGACAAACCCACACAGATACTGTCCTTGACAAAGGTGCCAAAATAATACACTGGAGGAAAGATAGGCTTTCAAACAAATGGTGCCGGGAGAATGGCTTATCTAAATGTAGAAGAATGAGATTAGATCCTTATCTCTTACCCTGCACAAGTCAACTCAAAATGGATCAAAGACCTGGGAATCAGACCAGAACTGCAACTCCTAGAAGAAAATGTAGGGTCAACACTCCAGCATATAGATATAGGCACTGACATTCCCAGGAGAACTCCTAAAGCTCAGGAAATGATATCAATAATTAATAAATGGAATGGCATCAAATTGAAAAGCCTCTGCACAGTAAAAAAAAAAAAAAAAAACCACTAATGTGAAGAACCTACAGAATGGGAGAAAATCTTTGCTAACTGCTCTTGTGACAGAGGATTAATATCCAGAATATATAAAGAATTCAAAAAACTTATCACACTCAAAAAAATAACACTTAACCCAATTAATAAGTGGGCAAAGTAAACAGACACTTCTCCAGAGAAGAAATACAAATGGCCAGCATATATATGAAAAAGTGTTCAACATCTTTAGCAATTAAGGAAATGCAAATCAAATCTATGCTAAGATTACATCTCACTCTGGTTAAAATGGCAGCCATGGAGGACACAAATACTAAATGCTGGAGAGAATGGGGAGAAAAAGGAACACTTCTACACTGTTGGTGGGATTGTAATATACTACAACCACTGTGGAAATCGGTATGGAGGTTCCTCAAAAGACGAGGAATGAAACCACCATATGACCCAACTATCTCACTCATTGGTATTTATCCTAAAGAATTAAAGTCAGCATACTATATTGATATATGCATGCCCATGTTTACAACAGCACAATTCAGTGGTCAAACTATGGAACCAGCCAAGGTATCTATTATCACTGAATAGATAAAGAAAATGTGGTAGATATAAACAATGGAGTTTTATTCAGCCATAAAGATAAATGAAATTATGTCACTGGTAGGAAAATGGATGGAAATTGAGAACATTATGTTATATGACATAAGTCAAACTCAGAAAATCAAAATTTGTGTTCTCTTTCATGCATTGAAGAAGAAAAAGGAAAAGAAAAGGTTAGGAGGGTAAATCTCATGAAGATTGGAGGGAGATCACTAGAGTGGAGGAAAGGGAACCAGAGGAGGCAGATAAAGGGGGAAAAGGGAAATACAGGGGAATGATACTGCATTTTATTGTTATATTGTGAGCAGGTATGGAAATGTAACAACAAATCCATTGTTATGTACAATTATAATGCGCCGATAAAAATATGGACAAAAAATTGGAACAACAACAAAAATAAAGAGGTTGTCTTTTTTTTTTTTAAACAGGCAACACACAATTCAGCCTTGTTTTTATGTTTGCTTTTTACAATATCCTAATTGCAGGGCTGGGATTGTGGCTCAGCGGTAGAGCCTTCATCTAGCACGTGTGAGGCCCTGGGTTCGATCTTCAGCACCATATAAAAATAAATAAAGAAAATAAAGATATTGTATCCAACTACAACTAAAAAATAAATATTAAAAAAAAAATCCCAATATCCTAATTGGTGTAATTTAGACTGTTCACATTTAAAGTGATCATTTATTGAACTACTTGAGTTAATAACTACCCTGTTTGCAACTGCTTCATATTTGTATTTATTATACTTGACATTCATACTTAATTTTAAATTCATAATTTTATTTTATTTATTTATTTTTGTCTTCAAGAGAACCCTTTCAAACCCCCTCAAAACCGATCGTGCCTGGGACGCGTTATGCAAGTACATAGTGGAAGAAAAGCATCACATTGGCTCAGGCGGGTAGGAAGGATGCAGGGATCCAGCAATGCAATTCTAGGATGCACGCAAAGGTCAGGTCTTTGCCTCAAATCCGCCCGACACTGACATACATACGCTCCAGCCAATGAGGGCCTTCCTAGAGCCTAACGCAGCCCTCAAGGGGCGGGACTCCCCCGTGCCATTTGCGTACCGGGAGTGCGGCTAGGAGATTGCGCAAAGCCCCAGGAGGCGTGGCTTACGGGTCCGCGGCTTCCCGGGCCGGCTGGGCGGGGTGCTGGGTTGCCAGGACGACCGTAGCGGGTTAGTAGCAGAGTCGTTTGGAGACTCCCGGCGCGTAGAAGACTGAGTACCGGTGGAGAGGTCGTTCGCAGTGGCTGCTTCCCGGTAGTACGTGGGGGAACCGCACGGACAACAGGATCTTCTCCTCCCCACCCCCTAATCCCCCCACCCCCGAGCGCTCTGGTGTGTGACAGGCTGCACCAGCTGAGCCCGGATCCCGGGTGGCGAAGGGGCTTCGCAGATCCGCAGAAAACCTCCTGGCGGGTCGCCCGCCGTGGCCTGCAGGCTCTGCTCCCTTCAGGCGGTGTTCATTTGCTATCAGGGACTTGATTTGCTGCCACTTAGAAGCACCTTAAAAAGGGGGCGGGGGACTTTGTGAAGAAGGCTCTGCGCATGCTGACTGGCACAGCGGTTATAGGGAGTCCGCTGCCAGAAGGGCCCAGACGGTAACAGGGCTTCGTCTTCTTTGCAGAACCATGGGCAGCAAGAAGAAGGAAATTGCTTTGCAGGTAAACCTCAAGGGGCGCTAGCTTCCAGCACTTGGTTAGGGTTGGAGGGTGGTGTGGTGTGGTGGGGAGGGGAGGGGAGGGTGCAGTACGAAAGTCATGTTCTCTGTGCTAGCAGTATGTAACGGTATTCTAGAACTTGAGTTTTCTACCCTTATGTCTTAAAGTTAAAAAAAAATTATCTCGGACCCCTCGTTTTGACAAACTTTTTATGCATAAATATATATAAACAAAATTGGGCAAAAGCTTTTTTGCTTATAGTGCACATACAACCGTAAGGACCCGAACATGCGTTATCACAAATCAAAACTAAGGAAAGATTATCCAGCATAATTCCCAGGTGATAGTTGAACTTCTTTGCTGAAACATAGTTGCAACTTGCATGGAGAATAGGATATAGATGATTTTGAGTTTGGGCATGGCTCTGTACCTCTGTGCTTTGTGCAGATTTCTCCATCACTGTTCTCTTCGCTTATTAACAATATGCTTTGAGATGTATTATGTGATGAGCATTTGTTATACAGAGTGCCTAACTTCATTTGCACTTAAGACAAGTGAAACTGTAAGTTTTTGTTACCTCTTGTTTTCTTCTTGGTCCTGGACAGTAAGTAGCGAGTGATTCTACAGCTATGGTAAAAACATGCATGCCTGGGCCCTGGAATTGGGAGAGAGGACTTTGTCATAAGATCATTGAATGATCTGTAATATGGGTACATTTAAAAACAAGCTTTAGAATGTCTCATAAATCAACTGAATCCCCAAAGATACATGCTTAGGCTGCAGAAGCCAGATATAGTTCTTGAAATTTTCTCTAAGTCAATTCTGTGATTTAAAATATATTACATAACTTCTCTGGGCTATGGCTTGCCCATTGTGGGATGAGGGTGTGTGTGATATCCTTAAGGGTCTTCTGGCTTTGCTATTCTAGGACTCTGAAGGTGGGAATCTTCTGTCTGTAGTAGATTCTGAGCACCTTGCCCTCCCACTTTTTCTATGTGTATCATTTTTTTCAGCGTATATGAGCCCCATATCCTTTATATAAATGGGGAGGGGAGGAATACATAACTTGCAGAGTTGTAATGAGATTCTTTTGGAAGTTTCCAGATCCGTCTGAATGCTTTCTGTGGTTTCTCTGATGTTATTGGCCCGTATGATTATCATCTCATAGGTTTATGTCCTATATCCCCATTGGGGGTAATGTGTTAGCAATATTATTTTTTCATGTGAATTCCTCACAGCTCTAAGTACCATTTGCTGAGGAGAAGGGGGAGCAGCAGCCCCTCCCCACTCACACCAAGGAATCTGTGTATCACCTACGTATAAAGTAAATCCCTTGAAAGCAGTGCCTAGGGTCTGCCATCCTAGGAACCCTGTCCTGTCTCTGGGTTTCCTTCTGTGACTAAGAATCAGAAATGATAGGATATTGAGGCAATCTGTTCAAAGGTGTTAATACATTTCCCATTATTTCCCTACCAAACGTGGGGCTTAGTGAAGTTCAAATAGTTTCTATTCTTTTCTCCTCCTGCCCTTCTTCTAGGGGTGAGATTCTTCAGCTACCCAGAGTCCTGGACCCAGAGGTGATGTAGCTCATTCCATGACAGGAAGAGCCACAGAGAGTTTGCCAGTGACTTATAGTTGAGCCTCTGGGGTGGGAGTGGGAGCTTTTCTGATCTCTCCTGTCATTTGCCCCAGGACTGTAGTTGTGCCTCCAGGATGACAGATGTTTAAGGCTCTTACCTCTTTTAAGGAAACCTACAGTATGATATTGTTCATGTGCATTTTAAAGACACTAAGAAATTTTATATCCTGATTTTTTTGTCATAGAAACAAAAAGTCAGGAGTATGCTTTCTTAAAAAAAGAGACTTCTCACAGAGGACTTGCAGATGTTACATGATTCCTGCCCTTATTACAGATAATGTATCCTATCCTTTTATAGGAATACAGACTTTAGCATACTTGTATTAAAAACAATTTGTAATTTTCATGGTATTCCAAATATTAATTACAAGAGGAAAGAGAGTGGTTTTTTTAGTGCAGGAGTCTGAGAGTAGCACCTTGTTCTGGTGGTTAATCGGCAGATGGAAATTGTGTATCACCTGATTGGATGTAAGCAGAGGAACTCTCTTCAGCTTCTCTAATACTCCAACCAATCTAAAGATGTACCACCTGAACCTAATCAGCAGGAACTAGACACACCATTTTACAAAACAACTGGCATATAGTTTTTAAAAGTTTTGAGATTTTGAAAATAAAAGAAAGAGTTAAGAATTATTCTAGGTGAATTGATGCTAAGAGATTTGACTAGTGTGGGATTCTGATTACCTCCTTTGCTATCTAGGACATTATTGGGACAATTGGTAAAACTTTAATGGCATGTAAGGATTAAATGTAACAGTATATCAGTGTTTTTTCCCCTGATGTTGATGATTTTATTGTGGATATATAGGATAATGTATTTGGGAGTGATGGAATATCAGACTAACAATCTACTTTTAAATATACCCCCACACATTCTTTATAATGTACTTGCAAAACTTCTGTAAGTTTAAAATTGTTTCAAAGTAAAAATACATTCTGTATACTCTATAAAAATGTTTACTATTAATGAAGAGGGATAATATGCACTTCTCCTTGAATTCCATGTCTAATATAAACCAGAACTCTTTTTAGATAAAAGAAAAAGAAGTGAATGAATGGTAATAAATTCAACTCTTCGTTATTTGTGATACTGAGTGAAAATATAAATTGCAAAAGGAAAGCTATAATATTATACTGTTCATGTACATTTTAAAGACACCAAGAAATTTTATGTACTGTTTCTGAAGAAGTAACATTTTTTAAAATGCTAAGAATAATATGTATCACTCTTAGTTTCGTGTTTTTTTTTTTTTTTTTTCCTGGGGGAAAGAAACAGGAAGAAAGGTAAGGACTAAAGAAGATTGGGGAGAGAGAAAAACTTGAATGTATTTCTAAGTGTTTTGGAGAAAGACAAAATTCATGAAATTGTTTCCCCATTTGTGCCCTCGGTGTTAAAGCATTTGATTCTCTGAATTTAGGTCAACATCAGCACCCAGGAGCTTTGGGAAGAAATGCTGAGTTCCAAAGGATTAACTGGTAATTCAAAATAAAATATATTTTTTTCAGATCCATTTTTTTCAAGAATGTTGATTGAAGTGTTGAGCCATAAAGAGAAGGCTGCAATAACCTTTTCCTATAACCTTGAGCCTCATAAACAGCCAGGTGCTTTCTTTGTGTCTGTGTGTACAGTAGTTCTCCCCTTGTCTGTGGTTTTGCTTTCTAGTTTCAATTACCTGCAGTCAACCACAATTCAGAAACATTAAATGGAAAATTCCAGAAATAAACATTTCATAAATTTTAAAACACACACCATTCTGAATAGCATGATGAACTCTTACATCATCCCATGGGTTGATGGGACATGAATCATCATTTTGTTCAGTGAATCGACACTGTATATGCTACCTGCCCATTAGTCTTTTAAGTATCCTGCTTAGTTATCCAAAAGACTGTCATGGTATTGAAGTGCTTATAAAATGTTGGGTACTATCCAAAGTATCAGGCATCCTCTAGGGGTTTTAGAACAAATCCCTGAGGAGAAAGATGGGTATTGTATTTATATCTGGCTTGAACATCATAAATTTGGTTCAGGAAATGAGTCAGTACTGTCAGAAAGCAGGGTTTCCTTATTTTAGAGCTGATTGATATTCTCAGGGTTGTTTGATGTTCAGTTACAGAAACTTCTTCTAATTACCCGAGGCACAAAAGGAGAATGCATTAGAAGGAAAATGGGGATCTCTTGGAACTCTCAGATAGGAGGAAGAGCCAGGCATCATAAGGCACTGGAACCAGGAACAGCACAGTAATCACTAGGAAGCAGCATAGCCACTGCCCAGGGGCCTCCTTGTTCTTAATCCTTCTTGTATTTGTCATCTGTTGCTGCACAAAACTAGTGGTTTACAACCACAAACATTTATTATCCCACAGTTTCTGTGAGTCAGAAATTCAGATGCAGCTTAGTTGGGTTCCTCTGGCTCAGGAGTGCAGTTGTTGGAAGGTTTCAAAGCTCAATTTGGGGCAGATTGGCTTCTAAGCTTTTGGCCAAATTTAGAAGGTCCACTTCCAGGTCCACTCGTGTGGCTGTTGGCAGGATTCAAATCCTCACTAGTTGTTGGCCAGAGACATCAATTTCTTGCTATCAGTTTCTCCATGAGGCTGCTCAGGACATGGCAACTTACTCCTTTAAAGCAGGGCTCTGGGAGCGCATGTGATGGAAGTCAGTCCTTATTAACCTAATCTTGAAAGTGATATCCTCCTGCCCTCTTCTGATCACTAGAAACCCACTAAGTCCAGCCCAGGGAGTACCAAGAGGCTGATCTTTGGAGACATCTTAGAGGTTACTACCTCCCTCGCACTCATTATTATTCCTTTCTCTTCCTCTTGATATCTTTCTCCAGATTACCTCTGGGCTCTGTTATTCTCTGCATGTCTGCTTGTATCTGTTCTTATCCATGTCTCTGCACCCCATTTGGATGACTTCCACATTCGAGAACTCTTGCTCTCTTGTGACTTGATCTGTCTTCCCAGCCCCTTCCCCACTGCTTCCTGAGCTGAGTCCTTGGTGCTGACATTTTCCCAGAACATATCACATGTTTCCCTGCTTCTTCACTTTACCCTTGTCCCTACTCCCTGGCATATCATGACTCATCTCAGCCTGTTGAGAGCTTTCTCCTTCCCAGACCCAGCTCCAAAGTAGCCTCCCTGGGTGAAATCTTTGCGGAAACTTTGTATGGTTCAGGAGCCCCTGGACTCTGTCAAGCCCCTCACCCCCATCCATGTGGGTGTCATTAGATTCTTAACACCACAGCGCTGGCTCTCTCATCTCTCATCTATAGCCCACCTGCCCAGACCTGGGCCAAGTGGATGCTAAATAAATGCTGGTTGCATTGATCCATTTGTGTGGGTGTGAGTACTGCCACACACTCCGATTTGAGGAATTATATAAAGCCTTTTCAATGGTGCCAAGACTGAATTATTGTGTTCTGTCTGGGCAACTGGAACCCAACTCCAAGGTGAGACAACCACTGCTTGTTTCTTCAGCAGCAGTGATTTCCTGCATGCCAGCTACCTTGCTAAGCACCAACACCATACCAAACACTGACTCTGCCAAGCCTGCTCTAATGCTCTAGGGCCTTGTAGGCAGCCAGGCTCCTACTGGCCCCTGATCATCAGGCAGCTAGATGAACACACACACACACACACAGTATAGATGCTCATTCTCCCTGGAGCCGGCAGAAACTTGCTTCCAAGGTCAACAACGGTCTTGGGAGTCTTCCTGTGCTGGCTCTTTTGCACCTGCCTTCAAACATGCTAGTCTAATCAGGTCACGTGGTTCAGGCACTCTCATCATTTCTGCTCTTTCTTCCAGGGGTCTTCTCCATTTTGCTTCCTGCCTTTCAGAGTCAACCTCTTAATGCCCCTTCCTCTCCAGCGTCCCTCAGGCCCCACCTGACTATCTCCTAAGTTGGTGGAGTTTGTTCCCATAGCTCCTGCCTAGAGCCAAGGAGAATGAGAGGGGACTAGAAGCTGGTAGAAGCGGCAGGTGAACTGTCGATGCAAATACTGCCTGGGGATTTTAAGCTGATCGGGGCCCACTGTCTTTCTTTGCAGTAGAACCTGCCCTCCTAGCTTGACTCAAATGCTTTCTTGCCTCCGCCCACATCACCCTGGAGTGTTGAAATCCAAACACTGGCCAATTGTGAGTCCTGTTCTCAAGCCCAGCGTCTGATCCCTCCACCTGGACACTGAGGAGGCCAAAGCCCCCTCTCTGCCCCTGGTCTCCTTCTGAGTGTCTGGTTGCCTGTGCAATCTCTTGGTTAGCACCAGAAAACCAGCCCAACTAGAACTAGTTCAACATTCCTCATCCCTTCAACTCTCTCTCCAACTCCACCCAGGTCTTTTTCTGCCAGGCTCAGAGGTGGAGTCCCTTTCACACCCCTTGGTGTTCATCCACATCTCCATTTCCACATTCCTTTTGCAGAGGTTGTGGTCCCCACCTCTTTGGCCTCTCACCCCACTGCAGCTCCTGTCTGGCTGCCTCTCCTCCCACCCAGCCTAGGTCTCACATTCTGCAAAATGCTGCTGCCTGCTGAGCCAGCCCTTGCTCTTGAACTGGCGTGTCTCCTCCTTTCCAGGAGCAGCTGAAAGAACGTGGGCTGTGACCTCGGACAGCCCGGCGCAGTATTTGGTTCTGCTAGGCTAGGGATTGACTATGTCTCCTCTAAAACTCCAGTGTTGAAACTTAATGGCCAAAATAGTGGCATTAAAGGTGGATCCCCGAGAGCTCTTCCCCTCAAGAATGGGATTGGCGCTTGATGGAGGGAGTTTGTACCTCCTGTCCTTCACCTTCCAACACATGTGAACACAACTTTCACCGAAGCTGCCAGTCTTGGTCTTGGCCTTCTGATATTCCAAAATTGTGAGAAACAGCTGTCTGTTGTTTATAAACCACCCTGTGTGGAATTCTTACCTTTGGCCAGCAGCTTCACCTCTATGAACTTCAGTTTCTTCATCTCTATGTTGGGATGATTCTCAACTCAGTGGGCTTTTTGAGAAAAAAGCAAAGCACAGATGCTTGCTTTGGCTCAAGAAAAGTTAGGTTCCTTTCCTCTCTGAAACTTACTGTGAGTCCTTCCTTATGGCCACATAAATCCAGATGGAGGTCTTCAAGTCCACATCTCAGACTTCTCCAATGAGCCCCACCACCATTTCCCATCACACAGGCCTGGGCAGGTCTGGTTAGGGCAGGCAGCCCAGGGTCCCTGAATTCCCCCTGTGTGTGCCTGGCTGCCCAGGCTTTGCAGCATGCTTACTTCTCTGCCCATGCATGGCCAGCATTTCTGCAATGCCCAGTACACCTGCCCTCCACCCAGAAGGCTGCCTTCCCTGGCTAGTACAAAATGGTGTTAATGCTGTGCCACCAGAGTCTATGCTTAATTTTAGTCATGATAGTTTGTTAGAGTAATTGTACTCACTTGATGTGAAACTATGGAAATATAAATCTGCATTAAACAATTAAAAATTGCATGCTATTAAAGCTGGTAGACTAATAAATTATAAGCAATTTTTACACTATTTGCCTATAACTATGTTATGGTAGCTGTTGAATGGAAATACCCACCTGTGTGGATTAGGCACAAACTCTTAAGTGGTGAGGCTCCTAGAAAACACTCCTCTACAATGTGGCCTCCAGTAAGCGACAGTCTAGCTCTTGCTGCTGCCTCCTGATTGGGCAGTTCCTGCATATATCTGGTACACAGGAGTTGGTTGAGCCTGCCTAGCCATGACACCCTCTATAGATCGGGATCAAAAAAGATAATGGAATCCAAGTTCCCATCTCATGCTCCAACAAGTTCTCTTTGCAGGAGAAAAGTACTGATTTTATAAAATAAATTAAATTCTTTTACTCAAAGCAAATGGCTTTTATCAATCAGGGAAAAGTTTAAAACTGTGTTTACTCTCGAGCAGGTGAGTCAATTATATGCTGACTGGTCACCCACAGTAACCTTCATGGCTCTTCTTTTGGAACAGATGGTTTCAGTCCAATTCAGATAATCAATTGAGGGTCACTCTGTGCCAGGTTTGACCCTGAATGTAGCCTGAAATATCTGTAAGGTAAAGAGGCCACTGTAAGAAAATTACTTTCTGCCATACTTTCTTCAATATGTTTTGAATTCAGAATACTGAGTTCATAAGAACAAGGGACAGTGGTTTCCATGCTCGCTCACAGTCTGATGGAATAAAAAACTCCTTTAACCATTAAGTATCCCTGCAAACAGATGAGACTTGAGGGCATTAGAATGTATGGGAATGGCTGTGCCTGTCTGGAGGGTGGGGTGCCTGCTGACCCTGCTTCTTGGCTCCTCACAGTTGTTGATGTCTACCAAGGCTGGTGTGGCCCCTGCAAACCTGTGGCAAGCCTCTTCCAGAAGATGAGGATTGAGGTTGGCCTGGACCTTCTGCACTTTGCATTAGTAAGATTCCCTCCAAACCAAAGGTCATAAAACACTGTTGACATTGTCATGATGCCTTCTAATTTCTCTAGATGTAGAGATCCTTACCCCTCCACCCACTGCAGTCCTTTTGGCTCAGGCAATCTCTTTATGCTGTGTGAAAGGAAGGAATCCATGTCACTCCTATGCATATACTCCTGGTCTCATGAACACTATTGATTGAAACATCACTTTCAGAGCACCATGTTTCAAGATTTCCAACCTCTGTTTCATAAAGGGGAACTTATAGCAAATGCTTGTTTTGTTTCATGTGTGGAAATGGAAATAAATTTCAGAGAAGTGTGCAAGAGACACTGTTCATATGCTGCATGGGTTCAAGGTTCACAGACAGTGAAGACAGGAGATAATATAACATATGCTGATCTCTCAAGAAGTTGGATTTCCAGGACTCTCCACTTGGGACTCAGTCTCTCCTTGGGACTCAGCCTTGGTGCTTCTATAGCAAGGGTGTTGCTGATTGGCTCACCTGGGGGATCTGTGGTGTCTACATACAGTGGGTTCATCAGACATCAAAGGCAATTTCTGAGGATTTTTCATGTCTGCTGTTGCCAGTCATGGCCGCAGAAGGACACCAGATGGTGGAGTTTCCTTGGACTGGTGGAGTAGCTGGGTGAGAGAAAGAGAAAGTCTTTTTCCTCCTCATTAGACTCTTTAAGGAAGTACACTTTTCACAATTACCAGTATGTTGACAGGACAGTTGTGATTAGAGCGAGCAGCAGGAGAGCAAGTTGGGCTTCACCTGGGGAGGTTGGTCATGGGGGTATGGAGTTCCCAGGGCCCTGTGCCCAGGTCCAGTGGGTGCCTGCTGACAGTTTGTCTTCTTTAGGCAGAGGCCGATTGTCTTGATGTCCTTGAAAAATACCGAGGGAAGTGTGAGCCAACCTTTCTGTTTTATGCAGTAAGTACATCTGTAGAATAAGAACTATTTGATGGTTACAGATCATTAGCTTTCAAATAGATGCAACTCAATGTCATTAATTGCCTCAGACCTGGTGACACATACCATCTTGACCCTGTTTAGGACAGTGGCCTTCAGGCCATCCCTACTCCCCAGGAGAGGACACAGTTCTCTGGTGGTCACAGTTGGCTGGGGCAGCCATCCTGACTGGCCGTACGTGGGAAAGAATGAGACACTCAAATACACATGCTCCTTCTTGGCTCCTATACACTTTAGACTATGGATTCACTCTCAGAGCACAGGGTTTGAAGATTTCTATCCTCTGTTCATAAAGAGGAAATTTTAGCAAAAATGAATACTTCCTTATGGGGCAGACAAGCTCTGCATTCATCTTTTCAATCATAAAATGTGAAGAAACATGAGAGACTATTGAGGAAAGCTATATGGCACCGTGTTCTGACAAGCTAATGTGGATGTCTCTGAGTGTGACATCCATGGCCCCACTCCATGCCCCTTAGGGCCCAACGTCAGATCTGGCTTCCCAGGCTGAGGCCAACTGCTATACCTGAAGGAAATGGAATAACAGGCTATTTCCAACCCAGTCCAGCCCCTCATTGTATTCAGAGAAAGTGGGATCTTCTCTCCCAGGGCTCCTGAGAGCCAGGCCAGGGTTGTTAGTTTGGAAAACGTAGGCCTCCTGGGCTTGTTACAGCCTTGCAAGTCTTACAAGTTGGGAAACATAATGAAACATTGGAGCTTCAGTTTTCGGTAGAGACTCAAGTTATACTATGAACTGAGATTGGGGGAAGGGAGGGATTAGTGGGAAGATCAGAGATGAGTGTCTGTGGCCACACCAGACGGAGCTCAAGTGCAGGAAGGGGATCATTATCACAGTAGTTTGGCTGTGTAAGTCCCTGGTGATGAAAGCATATAAACCATTCCTGGCTGGGTGGGAACACAAGCCTCAATCTCCAACTCTATTATGGGCCACTACAGGATGGCTGGAAATGTAAGGGAGCTCGCTTTACATGGCCTTCACTCTCCAGATTCACTCCTTTTGGGTACTACTTATAGAGACTCTTGTAAAAGTGAAAGCAGAGAATTCAGGCTCACCCTAAATACACCTCCATTGTGAAGTCTTCCCTGACTACCCCAGCCAGTGTTGGGAATTCTTGTCCCAAGTTCCAAACACCTTATAAGTTCCCCCATTAAAGTGATTCTCTTATCATAGCCTAATTGTCTATTTGGAATGATTACTCCATCCTTCATTCATTCAGTGACTATGTCTTTTCAAGTTTAGTGCGTATTCTTTGCCTCTGCCTGGGTGCTTGGCATAGTAAGTGCTCAATAAATATTTGTTTAAAAATAGGCTATATGTAAGTCACCCCCAAATTTTTGTGTACTGTTCTTCCTTTAACTAACTACCAGTTGCCCTGAAGGAAGCTTTGAAAGGAGGGGCACAAGGTGGAAGGTAGAGATCACAGTGAGAGATTATTTTAGAACTAAGAGCAGACCTGAGGAACTAAAGCAGATCTAAAGCAGACTTGACTTTAATGGGAAGGGCCCCAGAAAGTGGCAGAAGAAGTGAATATCCATGTTGGAAATGGGTGGTAGAGGCTGTGGGCCTGGGGTCAATGGACTTTGACCCGGGCATACTCTTAAACACTCCCAATGTTGAAAGAGATTAACGTGTGAAGAGGCTCTCATGAGGTGTGCGGTTTATTATAGGGAGGAGAACTGGTGGCTGTGGTCAGGGGAGCAAATGCTCCACTGCTGGAGAAGACCATCCTCGACCAACTGGAGGCTGAAAAGAAGGTGCTAGCTGAAGGCAGAGAACGGAAAGTGGTAAGTAGAGGTCACTTCCACAAACAACAAATTTATGTCTGCTTGTATGGGAAAGCCAGCAGTCTCCCCACTCCCACCTTCACCTGATTTTCTTGGAGCTATGAGAGGAAAGTTTCATGAATGTCCCACATTGGATCTGTTCCTCACTGAGAGTGCACAATGCTGTGATATATCTGCATTTTGAAGCCTTTTAAAAGCTGTCCCCTTCAACCAGGACCCTTTAATTTCTTTTATTCATTTTTCTTTCACCCTCCACTTCAATTTTTAACCATTAATTCAGAAAGGAAAATAAATTTACAGAATTGAGTAGTGGTATGTTAGTCAGATTTCTGTTACTATAACAAGATACTTGAAATAATCAACTTAAAAAGTGGAAAGGTTTATTTTGGCTTACAGTTTTAGGGGCTTCAGTCCACGATCAGTAAGGCATGTTGCTTTTGGACCCACGGTTAGGCAGCACATTATGATGGAAACATGCAATGGAGGAAACTTTCCCTCATGAAGGCAGAGAAGAGACCATGTTGTCTCACAATTCCCTTCCAGTGATCAGATCAAAGACCTCCCACTAGGCCCCTCCTCTTGTAGATTCCACAACCTTCCAATAGCGCCAAGCTGAGGACCAAGCCTTCAACACTTGGGCCTTTGCGAGACACCTATCCAAATGATAACAAGGAAGAGTCTCCCACTCAACCTTGGGGTAAAGTCTCTCTGGGTGACCCATAAACTCAAGTTCCTGAAGGTTTTATTTGTAATTCCCTTAATTTAGAAACCAAGCTCTGTCATTACTATAAAAACAGGATCAGCCTAGCTAGTGATTTTGATTATTTCCACAATAACACTGACTACACATTCTTCACAAATAATTGTCTGCTTTTGAAAACCAACACACAGAGAGTATTTCCAGGTGCTTTTGCAATCTGCTAAACTGCTCAAGTTTTCTTATTCAATTCCAAATAGCAAAGCTCTTTTTTAATGGAATGAATTAGCATTGAATCTTATTTTTTCCCAAACCAGTTTTCTGCAAATGCTTCCATTCTTATGAGCCTCTTCTGGGGAACAATGATCTCTCCCTTTACTTCTCTGCACTGTTTAGCCTATCACTTAACATTTACTTACAGTTTAATTCTTTCTCTTGCCAACTTTCTATTTTTCCTTAGTCTCTACTTAATGCTTGTGAAAAGAGGCAAACTCTAACATTTAAGATAAGCATGGATTTCTCGGTCCTCTCTGTGTCCCATCACCCTGCTACTAAAAAAGGATCTTGTAGGTCTCCAGGACTTTCCTCACCTTGCCCTTGCCACTTGTTCCACCTTTTGTAGCTTTATTTTTTGTTGTCATTTCTGTAGGGTTTTGAAGGTCTTAGGGGTAATTTAAATTGGCTAACTATTTTCTGTTCCTGACCAATTTGTACTAGATTAAAGATGAGGCTCTTTCTGATGAAGACGAATATTTTCTCCATGAAAAAAATGATGGAGAAGATGAGGACGTGGGTGAGTGCAGAACCAATGAGCAAGGCCAAAGGCAAAGGAGGTTCAGATCTGATGTGAGTAATCAGGTCATTGAGATATCTGGACTCTGGCAATATTGACCATGAAATGTCTCCAGTCACCTGAGTTCAAATGTACTGTGGTCAAATCTCCCTTCTGCCCTATAAAAGCATCTTGGCTACATTTCACAGCTTTCTGATCATGCTTCAAATATAACAAGCTTGGATTTCATGGCAATCACCAGGCCTCTGTTAAGCGTTACATGGAGGGTAGAAGAACTGGTCATGCAAAGCGATAATGCTGGTGTTTCCTTGGTCCTTGGCTGATCTGGAAAGTTCGAGTTTCTATTATCATCTCTTTCTCAAACATCAGAAAACCTTCCCTCCCCCCAGCTCTGCACCCTTCTTCCCTTACTGCTGAAGCATCAACTCATTTTCACTCATGGGCAACTTGGCTGGCCAGTGAAGACAGCTGGGAGTCGGGCTACTGCTGGGAAGGCATCTCTTGGTGGCAACTGAGATGCCAGGGGAACCAGGATCAAGTTCAGGAACTGAGCTGATGACAAATGGAGGTTTTTTTTTTTTTTTAATGTTTTATTCTAATTTGTTATATATGACAGCAGAATGCATTACAATTCGTATTATACAAATAGAGCACAATTTTTCATATCTCTGTACACAAAAGCAGGTTTTTAAATTATTATTGAACAAAGTAGAGAGACTGTTTTTAAGTGTTTTTTGTTTGTTAAATAAGGCTATTTGAGTTGGAAAATTCTAACAGGGAAGGAGTTGTGGCTTAGGAAAGCAAAAAAACTTCAAGTGCAAAAAGAAAATCAGCCATTTGACTCTGCAGGAAACATTCTTTGCCTGCTTTTTGCATTATCTCCTCTTTCTTTCTTCCTCCATGATTTCCTCCCAAGTCTCTCCAACCTGGAAAACCACACAAAACCTTGTCTTTGTCCTGAGCCATCTCCTTAACAGCCAAGCTTCCTGAACTTTGTCCACACTCTTGGGGCCACTCCTCACCCTCCACTCGTGCTGGACCTGCTGCATTCTGGGTGTACCCATTGCTTCCTGAAAGGGTGCCCACAGGGGGCATTGGACCTCCTTGGTAACAGGTTCATATTCTGTGGGATCTCCCTGCAGAGCAGGATGATATTCCTAGCATCATCTTCTCGAAAGTGTTCTCTCTTTTGGGCACTAAGGTATCCTGACTCTCCTCCTTTTCCTTCACATCCCTGGCCCCTCCTCAGCATCTCCTTCATTGAGTTCCATTCCAGCTAGAGTTCTCCAGGTCCCTGCTTAGGCCTCTTCTCACTCTACACTCTAGGTGGTCTTGTGAGTCAGCCAATGTATAATGGAATTTATTGTAAAAGACTAAGTGCTCATAGCATGTTGGTAATCCCGGGAAAACGGACAGGTTTGATTGCTTAAAATGATTTATACTGTTGGGTTTCTGTCACTGTAACAAATACCTGAAATAATCGATTTATAAAGGTGAAATGTTTATTTTGCTCACAGCTTGGGAGGTTTCAGTCCATGACTGATTGGGCCTGCTACTTGTGGGCCTGTGATGAGAGCACAGCGTGGGAGGAGAGAGGCGCATCCTTCAAGGGCCCCACCAGGACCCCTCATACAGGTTCCACCATCAACCAATGGTGTCACATACTAGGACCCAGACTCTACTTACCCAAACCATAGCACATGTATTTTCAGCACCTTATTCAGATTTTCAGAGCCAAAGGTCCTCCTTATATGTAGATATTGTTTTGTTTCACTGCAACATAATCAGTATAAAGGTTGAGAAACAGAAAATAGATGAGGGGGTATGCTGATCCTGTGGAGAGAGCAGGTAATACACCAAGGCCACAGAAGCAGGAGTGTGATGGAGATGGGCTTGTGGACAGACTTTGGTTTCCTTACAGACCTTTCCAGAACCTGGCCTAAGCAGTGGACTCTTCTCATTGCTACATCTGATTGGACGGGTGGGCACTGACTGAAGGGCAGCCAACCCGTGGACTAGCCAGTGGGCTTTGGGTGGTGCCTTGGATCAAGAAGATGGGTTCACTGGTAGAGCACTAGCTTCTCTCAGGAAACCTTGAACGGGGAGAGGACTGAAGCTGCAGTTTGGTAGCATGTGCTGGAGCTGGAAAGTCATGCTGATTCAGGACTTGGGGCAGCCATACTTACCACATGGCAGGAAAGGTTCAAAGAGGCAGAGACAAAGGAGCCAGCCAAGCGGGGAACATGGCAGATAGCAGTTAGAGACTCAGAGTCTTCAGGAGCTAATGGGAAGGGGTGAGGATTCCTGGGCCCGTGTTGCCCCTGCTCCAGCACGCTCTGTGCAACTCTGTTCCTCCTACTCATTGAGTTGTTTCTGCCTTTCTGTTCCTAATTTCTTCAGCAATCCTCTTACCTGTCTGTCCCCTGATCCAGGGACCAAGTATTGTCCCCCACAGCCCAGCTGAAGTTGAATTAGGTGGGTGCATCCACTAGAGTCGGGGTCTGCAGGGTAAGCAAAGAGGCCAGGGGAGAGAACCAGGAGCTCAAGCCTTGGCCTGGAACATGGTTTGCAATGGAACCTGTGTAGAGGCTGCACTGTCCCCTCAAGTGGCCTCTTAGTGCCTCAAACACCAAAATCTGACTGCACATCCCCTGGCTTATTTCAGTGTCATCAGAGGAGACCTGTACCTTGGCAATCATTAAGCCAGATGCAGTGGTCCATGGAAAGACGGATGAGATTATTATGAAGGTAAAGGAGAAACACTTACCAGGCACGACTGTCCTCATTTCCTCTCTGTTGGATAAGTAGGGATGGGGTAGCAGGCCGTGGATTCCTGCTGAGGAAAGGAGGATTCCATAGGGTTGGAACTCAAATCTGATTGGGACAGATGCTGGGGGAATGAGGGTCCCCACTGTTTTTAAAGTTGCTTATCTTTATTTTTTAAATTTCAACTAATTTAAATGCACATTTGGATTTGATTTACCCTTTCAGAATACTTATATATGTTCTATAGATCCAAGAAGCTGGGTTTGACATTCTAACAAACGAAGAGAGAACCATGACCGAGGCAGAAATGCGTCTTTTCTACCAATACAGAGCTGGAGAGGTCAGCTCATCTGCTCCCATATGCTTACCATGTTCTCCTCCTCCAACATTATGCCTATAGATTAACAGTAGTTTGAGAGATGATAGAACATTATGAAGGACAAGGATATGAACAGCAAGTGGGTCATGAATTTGCACTCAGAATCACAGTCATAGCTTCTATCAGTTCAAGGAAAAGATTTTGACACTGAGTAACAAAATAAAGAATTTACTAGATGGGTACTCTGTAGCTCACAGAATTAACAAAAAAAATTGAAGTGTTTACCAGGAAGTGCTTGGAGAGAAGAGGAATGAAGGGAGCTCAGAAGCCAAAGGCTGACAACACAAAACTTAAGACAACCCAGATTCAGCTGCTTTCCATTTGCTTTTACTTCAGACTCACCTCCTTGGGAGTCTAGTTGACCTAGCAGAGGTCACAGCCCCTACCTCTCAGGTTAGAGGTACATTGGGGGTACTAAGCATCATGGTTGTCAAAGTAGGACCAAATGAAATGGAGAAGAGCTGTTCCCCAAAGAGGAGTCAGAGCCTTGGTACTTGAAGAAGGAAGAAGGGTTGAGAAGCATCTCAAAACAACAAAACACTTAGCTACATCCCACCCCTTGGATTTGCAGCATCAACACAATTTCCATATATCTGGTCTTCAAGGCTCACCTTTCTGGGTTCTCTGGGGGTGGGAGGTCACTACCACCATCTTCCCCACAGCAGGCAGAGGTGGCCAGGAAATGGCTAAGTGTCCACAGGCACACACCAGCAAGGCTGCTCACTGACTCCCTCTTATCCTGTGGGTAGGATGGATTCGCTGACCCTCTTCAGGCCCTAGTATACCCTGCCCCATGTCAACAGTTTTCCTTCCCTGTGCCCAGGAGGCATTTGAAAAGCTGGTACATCACATGTGCAGTGGACCGAGCCATCTCCTTATCCTCACCAGGACCAAGGACAGCGAGGATGTGATTACTGCCTGGCGAACCCTAATGGGGCCCTGTGACCCCTGTGTGGCCAGGAGAGAGCAGCCTGAAAGGTGATGTCAGCAGCTGTGGTCCTTCCATCCATCTCAAAACCTCTACCCCACTTGGTGTTTGGTGCAGAATTGTGGGTAACGAAGCTCTCTGTTGACCAGGAGACCTCATCATTGTTATAAATTTGGGGGGACCCTGACGCCATCCCCTTCTGATCCAGTGCCCAGTCTTTGCTGAGCACCCCTGTGAGCTGCCTCCTCCCCTCCTCTACCCTCTTCTAAAGGTTGCTGCTAGATTGGTCCAATGGTCCTTGGTCACCATTCTCTCTTCAGCCAGAGGGTCCCACCAAGTGCTTCCAGAATACAGATTCTGGGGCTCCATTCAAGCCTGTCAAGCCAGAGACACTGCCATGTGACCTGAGAAACCGCATTATAGACACAGCCCCTTCCACCCAGGGTGTCCCAAGGCCCCTGAAATCTGGAGTACCCTGCCCGCACACTGCCCTGAGTTGACTTGGCTTTCTCCTTGGCCCTGTGTGTCACCAATGCCAAATCTGCATGTCTTAGCCTTTGAAGCTGAGAGGACCAGACAACAGAAAGGAGCTTAGCAAGAAGCCAAGGAGCTGCAGTTGGACTTACAGTTGTGAGGGGCTGAGAGCATTTATATAAAGGCAGCTGGGCTAGTGAGAAAGCCTGGGGTGTCACTAAAGCAAGTCCTTCTGAGCCTCAGTTCTCTCATCTATAAAATGAGGATATAAGTAAAATAACCATCAATGGAGGACAGAGGCATTTAGAACACTGCTCGACACACAGGAAGTCCCAGCTAAACAGTTGTATCAAGTGCATGGTAGTAATATTTACAACATGGCAGCTCAGTGCTTACACAATTACACCTGTCTAAAATGGAAATACCAGGGTTTCCCCTCAGGGCTTTGGTGAACCGCAGGAGATTCTGCATGTAAAACACCCAGCTGGGGGTCCAGACCACTGCCAGGACCAAATGAATGTTGCCTACTGCTATTGTTCTTGGTATCTCTACAAAGAAAGCAATTTCACAGAAATGCAGAGTGCTGATTTGTATCTGGAAATCATGTTGCCAGAAAGCAAGACATTTCTTTTCAAATGAAACAATTGTTTCTTTCACTTTTTACCGATGTCCCCAGTCTCCGGGCTCTGTATGGCACAGAGATGCCCTTCAACGCTGTCCATGGGAGCCGCGACCGAGAAGATGCCAGCAGAGAGCTGGCATTACTCTTCCCCAGTGTCAAGTTTTCAGATGAAGATGTGGAGGCCCCTCAGGGTAAGTCACCAAGGCAGTCTGTGGGAGACCAACCTCGGTGAATAGGAGTTTGTGACTAAGTGCTTGGGTGTGTGTGGGACTGGTAATCATTTGGTAACTAATTCAAAAAAATTCTGTTCTGAAAATATGGGTCATCAGGTAACTTGGATATGAATATTAAACTGTCTTATATTTTCATAGAGAAACAATGATGCCTTTCTGTACCTCACTACATCTTTAGTTTATCTTGGAATCCTATTTTCATTATAAAGGCATTTTGTATTTCTCTGTGAAAACCACTGGGAAGGTCTTAGCAACTTAGTGAAATCTCCTGCAAAAACCTGTGTTGCTCCTGCATGTCCCCTGTGCTCCGCCTCCCCCTTCCTGAATCCCCTAGTGGGCTGAGAAGCAGGGGCTGCAGGGGAGGGCCCTCTTCCTGGAGCCCACTGTGGCACGAGCTCCAGGTCATCTTCTCCATGAAGAGAACTCAGCCTCTGGGAAAGGTAGCCTGAGTCATTACCACCTCCAAATCTGGGCGAGAACCCCACAGGGTCCAGAGTGCATGTGACAGCTCATGCCACCAGTGGAGGAATTGGCCAGCACTATTCCTGTGCCCAAGTTACATCTGCATTGAGCCTGCAGTAAGGTGGAAGGAGCTGGGAATATCCACATGAATGCTCTGGGAAAAACCAAAGGACATGAAGGTCATTCTTGGAGAAGGCTGCGTGCAGATCTGAAGTGTAATAACCTATATATGTCCAAATGTTTGGGTTTAACCCAAGGTATTTGGCTAAATGTTTGCTATGCTCATGGTTTCAAGGTCTCAAACCCAGCCACAACAGAAAGGTGGACAGGGGCTGACCTGAACTGGCCCTTATTGAGTCCTTGCCACTGCCCTGAGGTGACTATTCCCACTGGCAATTGAGGAACAGGCTGAGTGTACCTAGAGCCTAGGGAGTCTGAACCTGCAGGGAAGTGTGACTGTGTGTGGATCAAAGACCCAAGCCACATCCAAGTACCTGTTACTCTCCAGTCATTCCCCGCTGGGGCCAGCTTTCCCAAGGACCTGGCCTGGGATGGCTTATGATGCATTTCCTATGTGTTCACAGTCATGGGGCATCTTCATCCACCTGAGGGATGACTGGAGGCATGGAGGTGTCACTCAGAACTGAGAGGAGGGTGAACTCACTGGGGTTCTGGGGAGAGTATTGGGAGATGTCAAACCTCACTTTGGCCCCAGGTGATATTGAGCAAAGGGGACAGTTCCAGAAGGAACTGTCCACCACTTTGAAGCTACCTGATTGGAATGCTGCTCCCCTGCCTATTTGTTTTGATGTGTCTCATCTTCTCAGTTCTGGGGAGCAGCATGTGCCTTCACTTACCCGGCATTTCTGCTAAGAAAGCATGGGGGCAGGGGACAAAAGTTCAGGACACGATGATACTGTGTTTGAATCCTGGCTCTACTACTCACCAGCTAAATAACTTCTGGAAAATTACTTACCTTTTCTGGGCCTCAGTTTCTTCATCTGTGAAAATGGAGAGATAATGATATGCCCATTATAACCCCAAACCAATAACTTTGTTTGGGCCCTACTGTTGAAGGCCATTGCATTCCCATGACCTTGTGCTGCCTCTGAATGGAGACGTGCAAGTCCCCAGTGCAAACCAGCATCTGTCCTGGGCCCCTGCATCAAACAATAAGCCCAGCAGAACTGTCAGAAAAGTGGGATCTACTGTTCCAGAGCCCTGGGCACACCTCCACAGAAATGTTGCAGAGACAGGATGTAAAGCTTAGCCTGGTGACATATCTTAAGTACTCAAACAGATGTTACTCGTTCTGCTAGTTCTTTAATTCTAAGACATATTGGGACCCCTCTGCTGACCTCTTAGCCTGACACCTAGCTTGGTCCTCAGTGATATGGTAGCTATTCCTTTCCCTGTTTCTTTGCAGATGGTGGGTGGGGCAGGGTTGGCTTCACAAGTCCTGCAGAACATCTGTCATCCCACAGGCACTGAAACCAAAGGAGCAGCAGGCGCCATGGAGGTGCTTTGCATCCCTGAGGACATGGACTGAGATGCTGTGCTGCTCTTCTGAGCATATGACCAAGGGCAAGGCCACAGGGCCACGAGATGTTAGTATACTGGAGCCTGCCTGGAAGGAACCTCAGAATTGGAACATGCTTTTATAAGCACCGATGCTTCCTTGTTTACCTGTCTTTTGTGGAAATAAAAAATAGCATATACTTTCTCCTTATTAAACAGTATATAGAACACATTCTCCCACATCCTGTCATCAGGTTTTAAAAAACAAATAGGCATCGGTTACTGTACTCTGGTATCATCTTAGAGGATACTGAGCCACATGGGGGCAGTGTCTTCCCAAGAGTACACCTCCTTTATGGTTAAACCATTTTAGATCCCAACCTGGTAACTATGGACTTAAAAGTAGTGCAACAAGCCAGGGTCTGACAAAGGCAGCTTCCCAATGTGGGGTCAGGTGTCAACTGGCTTTTGGCGGGGCCTCCTGCTTCCTGTCCCAGTCATGCATGGCCATTCAGTGCTGCCTGATCTGCCCACCTGAGGTTCTCCATGCGTCAGGGCACATTCATCGGCAATACTTGGAAGTTACACGTGGAACCAGAGTTCACCCAGTTTACTTGATATCTCCCTCCCCAGTTCTTTGGCTTCTGATTTGGCTAAAGCCTAATTTCAAACTTGCTCTGAGTGGGGCCCCAGGTTGCCTTCCACTGAACTGCCTGGGTTAGCTGTCTCTCTAGGTTCTTCCTTTGAAGGATGCAGGGTTTTAGTAAAAAGTAACTATTAGCTTTCCAGCAAATATTCCCACTCCCTCTTACCAGCTTGTTCTCAGGCTATTTTAAGTTCACCAAGTGCAGGCATCCTCTGTCTTTTCTGAGGAAAAGGCTGTATTGTTTAAAACCAAGAGGAAAATGCCAGCAATCTCATTTGCTGGTTTTCCCCAGAGGAGTCCACTCTTCCAACTTAAAGTTCTTTACATGGGCAGTTGGCTCCCAGAAGACAGCTCTTCACAGGGACATTACATTTCCTGTCAGCCTAGTGTGAAACTGTGCTGGTTCTGGAGAGAAATGGATAAGCCTGGCCTGAAGAACTACGGCCTGAGACATTGGATGGGCCCTACTGTTGAAGGCCATTGCATTCCCATGACCTTGTGCTGCCTCTGAATGGAGACATGCAAGCCCCCAGTGCAAACCAGCATCTGTCCTGGGCCCCTGCATCAAACAATAAGCCCAGCAGAGCTGTCAGAAAAGTGGGATCTACTGTTCCAGAGCCCTGGGCACACTGCTCACCATGGGGCTGTGCTCTTCCTTTGTACATGGGCTCAAGTCTGTGCCCATGACAGAGCTGGCAAGACTTGGAGTACAAAAGTCATACATCTGGGCTTTCATACCACAGGTGTCAATGAGTCACCTGGAGGAGGAGGTGCAAAGAGCTGATAGCTATCTGATCTCCCCAGAAGCCAGGAAGTCAAGAATCTCCCACCACTGGTGACATGAGAGATGCAGCAACCAGGGCCTCTGAAAAGCAGGTGACGGGGAAGAGTAGGTGGGGAACTGAGACTCAGGGCGAGAAGCGTTTTTGTCAGTGAGAGGGATCTTTAACATCCCCAGAAAACAGACAAGAAGGTCAGGGCTGGGCAGGAGAAAAACAGGAGAGGTACTAGGTGAGACGGTCAGAGTGGGAAAGGTGGTGACCTGCCCCTTCCTCCCATTGTCAGAGGCTTAGGGATGCTGTGGCTTCAGCATTGTAGGGAGTGACTTTTCTAAGAGTGCATAAGGAATGGGGGATAGGGTAGGGGCTCCTGAGAGTGGCTGTAAGACCATTCCACTCTCAAGGGGACAGTACTCCTTTGTTAAGACCCTGGTTGGTCCTGATTTCCTGCCAGAGGCTGCTTTGGGCTTCATCCCCTAGATGCAAGTGCTTGATGGGAGGAGGGCAGGCCTAGCCCCATTAAGTCTAGGAGGTGGACTCAACTCTTAAGGACAGGCTCTGGCCCACCCCCCAGGGAGAGAGCTGGTGGCCTGGCAAAACCAATGCCAGGACCTGCAGAGAAGGTTCAGTAGTTGACTCTGTGGCCCTTGGAGGGCTCCCACAGCTTTCCCTGAGGCCAGGTACTGGACAGAAACTTCCCTTATGTGCCTCCCTGCTCAGTAATCAGGGAAGATCAGTGTAAGGGGCAGGTTGGGATAGCAACAGTCCCTATTCCAGGTCACAAGGTGTTTGGAACCCTTTCTGTTAGCCTTCCATCAGGACCTGGGGTGGGATGTCCCTTTCCTCTCTTCCTTTCTAGCCCTCAATTCCAGTGTCCCATTGCAATTATGAAAAAGGGGACCTCCTAGTCTCTCCTTGGGTTCCCACAGAGCTCCACTCCACTAGGACTCCCTCCTCCATAGCCACTGCACTGTCCTCCTACCCCATGCTCTGTAGCAGGTGTCTTTTCTCTTCTTCCAGTGAGGCCTGGAGTTGGGAGTGCCATCTGCATCTCAGAAATGGGAAATGGTGATACACAATTAAGTGAAGGGCACCTGTGTACCCTTGCAGAGGGCTGGTGGCTGCTGGGCACCATGCAGCTGTGAACTGCCAAACTTCGGGTCTGTGTCCAGCAGGTGGTGGCAGTGGAGGACCCAACACTGGTGGTAACGGTGTCATGCTGGTTGGGAGTGGCCACCTATAAAGGGCCTGCTGGCCTTCAGGAGGCCAGGAAGAGTGGGGTCTCCAGACTTCAGCAGATGCCCCTGGGAGCGTAACTGCCTGAGGTACTGGCTTCCACCCTGAAAAGCAAAGGGCTCCCAGCCCTTCACATGGATCACAGGTTCCAAAAGCTGCTCCACACCATCTCCTAAGGTTTCCTAATGCTCCAGACATTTGGAAAACAGACTCCTTTTTAGAAGTTGCTATGATTTTTCTTGGCTTTTATTAGCATGTGTTAAAATCATATTATCCAAACACTACCAGAAGAACATGTATTGTTCTGAATAAAGTGCTTAAGGAAAAAAAAAATGCAACTTATTAAATTGGACATTCTTTTCTAGTTCATAAATTTTGGGTTACAATCAGGGCACAAGAGGAGGAACAGAATGCAGTATTAAAGAGAGCGAGAAGCTTAGTTAAGAACTTGGGTGTAGACACAAGACCATGTCCCATTCTTCCCACTTCCTTGCTGACTGAACACTGCACCTGCGTAAAGCAGCAAACAGCTTTGTTTTAATAAATACATTTCCCTTCATTCAAATCAGAAAAGTTACTTATTGTAAAGCACTTTTTACTTGACCATTGTGTATACCCACAGGCAAGATTCATGCAGAGTTGGAGTGTGAAAGTGTCACTTCCTTGGGCCTTCAGCTCTCTAATGCTATCTGGTTCAAGATTGTCTCAGCAATTCATTATTGGTTTCCTCATATTTACCTGAAACATTTTAATACCAACACTATAGTGTTTTGTGTTACAAATGCCAACCAACGATATTTTCTCAGTACTAAAAATGACAGTGAATGGGCCCTAAATAAGGCTGTACTCCCAATAAATTAGGTTTTCTTTAAATTGTATCTCTCACATTAGCACTCTAATATCTGCACAAAACCCAAGTTCCTGTTGGACAGAAAATCAGTGATGTTCTGAAAAAAATAACAATAAAATCTCTTGTATTTGAGTCTTGAGTGGCCATGTTGAGAACAGAAAACATTGCATTAAATACATCTAAAAAACATTCATTTGCAATCAATCATATTGAAATCTTCCAAGGAAGGTGCAGGTTGGTGACAGGGCAGCTGCGATGTGAGCAACCCCACTGGGAGTGGCTGGTGGGTGGGCGTGGGGCCCCATCAGTGGCACACACTCACCGCAAACTTCTGGACCGCAGACCTCTCATCCTGGCCTCGGTGCCTCTGGCCTCCTTCTAGCAAAGGGAAAAGGCTGGTTCTACCTTCAAACAGTCAAGAGCAACCGCTGTTGAATTCACCTTGAAGCTGACCCAGAAGCTGGAGCCGGTGCCGAGCTAAGGGTTGTAGAAGGGCTAAGCAGTACTCGCTGTAAAAAGATGCCATCCTCAGTCATCCAGGGCAGATTCCCTTCCCTTCTCTCAAGCTCTTAGCTTCCTGTAGGAGAAGATCTCAGGTCTCGTTTTCACAAAAGCACACCAACTAGCAACCCTGAGCTACCACTGTAGCAGCTGAGAGAAGACTGCTTTCTGAACTATTCTGTTTTTGCTTCTTCCTACAGAAGTGTCTGTAGAACACTCTTTAGTTTCACAGTGATATATGCTGTTTCAGTAAGCACAAAGTGATCTGACATTGTTTCCAAGAAGTGACGGCCTACTTTTAGCTTGAGAATAAGGTTCCACATCTGGTGCTAAGTTCTGCCAGACACTGCCACACCAATGATAGGATTTACGGTAGTTGGGAGGCTCTTGGTCTCCTGTCAAGGGAGCCCACTGGCTTTCACTATCATTAGTTATATTTCCCTTTGATGTTTTAAAAACCCTACTGTGAATCTGTGGCCTTACTCCACTCCGCTCTGTCCTTCTGACTTGGAAGCCTGAGAACTTATTAAATTAGGCTGAAAGGTGGCTCGACCTGCTAACATTGATGGCAGTTTAAGATGCTAGCTTACTCATTTGCACAGCACCATGTAGAGTGCCTGTTATTCAGGCCAACTATAGCCAACTTTTTCTGTTTTTGTTTTATAAAGAAAGTCTATGTAAGTTGAGGTTCAGAAATGCATATATTTTTTTACTTACAAATATTCATCTGACCAAAATTCAACATAACCTTTATGGAACACTAAACAATTGTTTTGTTTTTAAAATAACATTTCATTCAAACTGTATATAATTCAGTAAAGTTTTTTTTGTTTTTTGTTTTATACAGCAAGCAATGCTTAAACCCTGGAAAATCTGTAGAAAAGAGATTTTCACACAAAATAAGAAAAGAAAAATCTGAGGTATCCCTCACCCACACATCCACTCACTCTGACCCACACGCAAGCACACACACACAAACTCATTCTTACTCACAAAGTGGCTGCAGCATAGGCAAAAAATTGTAGGTCCAAAGGAAAATGATTGATTGTTCTAATAAAGAGTCCAGGTAGCTCAGAAAACAAAACAAAACAAAACACAATAGTCCTCTGAGGAAATTACTACCTCAAAAAAATGTCCTCAAGATGAATTTGAGATCTAAGCCTACTAAAATGCTTTTGCAAAACAGCTCCCTGCAGTCCAAGGTGACTTGTGCAAATAGAAGGAATCAATTGAGGCTAGTTCCTGTACTTCCTTAAACAAGGATGTGGATGCTCACAGATGTCCGGCGCTCCCATCATGCCAGGTACTGCTGCAGTGCCGTCTTTGCCCTGAAATCACAGTTCTCCTGTTAGCCATCATCTCAATTGTAATTGAGGGAGAGAAAAAAAACCAAAACCCTGTGGCTCAATGATGGTAGTTGGCGTTGATGTGTCCTAAAAAAAGTAGATTCCCAGAGTGAACTGGGGTGACCAGCTGGGCACCTAACTTAAGGAGCAGAGGGCCATATTCAAAGAGCTCTGAAACCTACACTGGGTATATTCTTCTTCCTGTGGTTCTCTTAGACAGCCATCCTTACCCTTTAACCTGCTATAGCTTGGTGACATTCTACACCCCCTTGTATGTGCTCACATTTTATAGTTTTCCTTTGTCACTAGTCCAGAGTTGTGATGGATCTGGAATTCTCTACTTTCTCCTACTGCCATGCAGGTTTTACATAGTAACACACAACACTAGGGAAGGACCCTTTGAGTTCTGGGAAGCTAAGGGGAAGGAAATCTGACCCAGGGATTAGCTGCTACTCATGGGATGAAGCGCCTCATGGTTCAAATGCCTCAGAACCATGGAAGAAGGGTACAATTTCATCTTGTTCTATATGCCTGATGATACCATCAATGTGGGACATGCAGCATGTTAAGGTGACTGGGAAGAAAGGGGTCAGGTGGAGAGGAAAAGGTGTAATGTCAACAGTGCTCCAACCTCTTCCACTCCTCTGAGCCTCCTTTACCACTCCCATCATAAGCTTTGTAGTTTCTAGAGAGGATGCAATTGTGGAGCTAGGAAGTCTGGTTTTAGCAACAGTCTCCCCTTCTAAATTACAGAAAGATAAGTCTAAAATTCCAGTTCTATTAGCTGACAAAAGTAGCACCAAGTAGACTGGGCATGCAATTAGCTGGATTTAGTGCAGTTTTGATAGTAAAGTAATATACTAAAGGTTTTTTTAAAATATTTTTTTAGTTGTCAATGGGCTTTATTTTGTTTATTTATATGTGGTGCTGAGAATCAAATCCAGTGCCTCACACATGCTAGATAAGCACTCTACCCCTGAGCCACAACTCCAGCCCTAGTCTACAGTTTGTAAAGTGGTACACTAAGGAATGTTCTTACAATTACATAAGACTCTAGAGACGATAACTGTGAACAGTCCAAAGCATCAGAACAGAAATCTCTAGAAAGACTGTCCCTGAGCCCCAGGCAAGATGGGTTTTAAGAAAGGACATTTTCAGAAACAAGTTTTCAAATAATGCCACAGTACCCCTTAGGGACCATTCACCTGCCTCCGTAAATCCATAAGGAAGCGGGGAAGAGCAGTGTGAGGGTTGGGTGAGAATGCCAGGGCCTTGCGACCCTGAGGCCCTCTGAGCCTGGGCTGGAAAGGCTGGTTAGCAACAGCTCAACTGTTAAGTACTTCAAAGTCAAAGGATCACAAAGACTTAAATACAGAAGTACCTGGGAGAGGTCTTCTCTAGATGACAGACTTTACTGTATGATTACGGGAATGTCCATTTGAGGGTCTTAATCAAAATCCTGTGTTACTCAAACTGTCAATTCAAATTCCTTCTGGATCTTACTCAGAGGCTGGCTATGTTTGATTATTTTGTGCCTCAGAAAGTTCTCTAATCTTTCTGCTGTCTATTATTACCTAAGAAGTTTTTTAGACAGATGTTTTCGGAGGTATGATCATCTTTTCTTAGATGGACTTAGACTGGGTAACTCACACCTTTTTTTCTTTTAATGGGCTGAAGTGTAAGAAGTGGTGAAAACTTATATATACCATACAAATTTGGGGGAGAAAGCACTGACTTGTCTATAGCAATGCAGGGAGGGCCCACACACCCCTCATTACATCTTGGTGAGGCCTCTCTCAGCAATCTAGATCATCCCAGAGACAATGTTAAGAAGAACAGTTTTCACTTCTGAACAATTATGAGAGAAAACCCTCAGAAAATGACCTGGTTATCATCCAGAAGAGGTGGGTTTACAGCCCTCCATATAAGGTGGCATCTATGGAGGGGAGCAGAGGTGCCAAACCTCAAGCAAAAGTTCAAATCCAGCCTGTGACATGTGGCCGGCCTGGACTTGCCTTTGGTGTTACACTTATCTGACCAGCATTGGGGTTGTGGTTATTCAAGGGCTTGCCCTCTTTGACCTATAGGACAACAAGCTCCAAGGAGGCAAAAGCCCAGCCTGCTCTTGTGTTCCAGAGTCAGGAATAGCCATTCACTGGCAGAGCAGTTACTAAGTACTTTGTCCCTTCAGCAGAGAAAACAGGCTGCAGCAGAAACACAGTGCAATGTGTTCTGCATGCTATGGCGCACAGAAGGGGTTCCTAGCATAGCCTGGGTCAAGGCAGGAGAGTGGGTCAGACAAGATGTTTTGGAAGAGGTGACAAGCTGATCCAGTTTTGAAGGATGAAAGGCCCTGTCTAGGCACTCTCTTTCTTTGCTCTCAGGACACTACATGCCTGGGTCTCAAGTCTACCCCGTTGGTTTTTCCTATGCTCTTTTACTGGAAGTTTCTCATCTTCCCCTAACTGTTGGAGGGCCCCAAAGCTTGGTTGTTGGCACTCTTTTCTCCTCTCCCTCTTTTAGTCTAGTTAGGTGACTCATCCAGCTCCCTTTAAACACCATCCAAATTTATATCCCTGTTTTTATCTCCCCTGAGTACCTTAGATACCTAATGGGTCTCTTAAAGTTGGCTCATCCCAACAAAAACTCGATTCTCTCTACCCCAACTCACTCTCCGAGGTTCCACACCACTGTCGTAAACTGCACCTCAATCCAGTTGCTCAGGCTACTGGCATTTTCCTTTCCTCTTTTTCATTAATACCTTCCACCAAGTCCAGTTGGCTCTGTCTTCAGATTAAATTCTGAATCCAACACCTTCTCAATACTTCACCAGGACCATTGTTGTTTCTTACTTAGGTTATTGCAACAGACTTCAACTGGTCTCCCTCCTTCCCTTCTGCCTACTAAAGATGATTCTGTACATAGCCACCAGAGTGATCTTTTAAAAATCAAAATTATTTAATGCCTCTTCTGCTCAGCACTCTCCAATAACCTCCAAATTCTGAATAAAAAGTCAAAATTCTTACCTACAAGGCTCTTTGTGATCTGGCTCCTTCCACCTACGTTTATGCTCCCCCTCATTATTTTCCTCCAACCCTACTGGTTTTCTTGCTGCTCTCTGGAAATGCCAAGTTTACCTGGCATTTGAACCCACCATGCCCTGTGCCTGGAATATTCTCCCTCTAAACATCTGTCTAGCAGATACCTTCATTCCATCCAGTTCTCTGATCAAATATCACATCCTCTGAGAGAGATTTACTGACTACCAGTATGATAACCAACTTTCTTTAATCTCCGTTCCCTTATCTTTGCTTTGTTCTTCTTCATGGTACCTGTCATTACCCAACTGAACTTACATTCATTTGTGGATTATCTGTCTTTTATAGTAGAATGTAAGTTCCATGAGCAAGGATTTCACCAAGTTTATTCACCATACATCTCCAATGCCTAAAACAGTGAGGGGAGTGAGTGCAGGGTAGGTATTAAAAAAAAAGAGAGAGAGAATGAATGGGGACTTGGAGGGAAGGGACCCAGGGTGGCAAAACAGATAAGAGAGTTTGTGAATGCCTGAAGTGTGATACTGAAAGCAGGCAGGTAAGGCTGGAGTATAGGGTGGTATGGTGGAGGTGGGATAGGCAGAACCAATTCACAAGGAGCTGAAGGGCTTTTGAGCTCTGCTCAGGTGTCTGGAGAAGGACAGCTGATGTTCCCTCCTGCTGCTACACACAGAAGTAAGCTGGCACATGAAGTCTGCTATCAGGGAGTGTACACAGCTAGGAAGAGTATTTCTGACTATTTTGAGGTTAGCTGGATGTATGGTTGTAACTCCTACCCTTCCTGGGGAATGGCAAGCTCTCTGAGGACAGGGACTACTTAGTGGTCACTGCTGATTCCCAGCAGCAGGGGTAGACTAGGCTAGATTACAAGGCTCAGTGATCTGATTTCAGTGATCTAATCAATGTTTTCAATAGTTGTCTTTCTGCTTTCCAAAAGGCTACATGCATTTCTATTCTAATGATCTTAGGAAGTAAGGGAATGGCCTCTGGATCTTAGATACCAACTAAGATGATGCAGACTCAACATTAATTCAGGGTGAGAGTCTTTAATAATTTGGTAATTACTAGTTTATACCTCACTCAAATGTCACAGTTGACTCAGAAAATTAAAAACGAAATTCTAAGAATCTAAAAGATCTTAAAAGTTTGGCCATGTGAATTACTAAGCAATTCAAACCATTTCATAAAAGATTTGACTCCAAAGTAGCTCAAATAGAGGCCCCTTTCATGTTGATACTCACTTGTCACAAAGGTTGGAATCTGGTGACTGGCTCAGTTTGTGTAGAATATCTACAATGCCCATGTCTCGTAATTTATCTTGGCGTTCTTGTGAACCTAAAAGATTAAAGCTACCAGGTTACTGGGAAAATGATGCAGACAGCTGTTCTCCTTCAGCCTTACTGGGACCCTTCACTCCTCAACCTTTTGCCTCTTATCCACCACCCTCCTGCAATGTACCTGGATCCTCTCATGCTTGGACTCTCAGCCTAAGTGGTCTCTGTACCTCTTGTCCCTCCTTCCTGCAGTCCACCCCATACTCTGCTGCTGGACTAATTTTCCCACAGACTCTTAAGATCAAGATCAGATTCTTTCAGTCTGGTACAAGGTCCTCTGTCATTGGCCCCAAGCTCTGATGCTTTTCTAGGACATTGCCACAGCACTGGGGAGGACAGTCTCTTCCTATTCCTAAGAGACCTTGTTTTCCCCTCCTTCTATTGTTTTCTGCCCTTTTCCTTCCTCCCTGCACTTCTTGCCTTTCAGCACAACTGGCAGTTCCAATTTCATACCACTCTGTTCCACCTTCCAACTAGACCAAGACTTTGAGGCCTGGATTTTTCTCTTGGAATTCAAATGTTACATGGTATGGAGACCTGTGGGTTAAATCCAGTTTTGCCTCCTACCACTTCTGGATACAAGTGCTAAGTATAACAATCCCTCTGGAATCTTTCCTCCCCACTGAAAAATCTACACTGATGCACTGAAGAACCTACATTGAGGCACCATACCCTCTAGACCCAGTGAACCAGAATCTCTATGGCCAAAGCCCAGAAACTCGCCTTCTAAAAGTTTCTCGGTGATTCTAATGCAGCCAGCCTAGCACTGAGATCCAGTGCTCTTCTCCATACCTTGGCTGTATACTGGAACAACCTGTTAGCTTTAAGAACTACTTGTACCTAGACCCACCCCCAGAGATTTTAATGGAACTGGTCTTTTGCAAAAATCCCCAGGTGACTCTAATATATGGAGAACCTTTGATCACTACCCCTAGCCACCTTACTGTAAGACTATATCTCACCAGTATATCCTCTTCTCTGTCATGCTTATCTGCCAGTAGTCCTTAAATGTGCTTCCTATGCTTACAACAGAAGGCCATCCTCTTATCCACTCTTCTCTCACCTTCTTCAAGTGCCTCTTATATCCTTCTTATCAGCTCTCCCAAGGGCAAGGACTGTCACTCACTCCTCACCCCTAGTAATTCGGTATAGTGTTGGCTCAGGTCAGCTGACTCAGGCTAGTCCCACTGACTCTCCTACTGGGGTGCCTCTGTAGGGCGGTGAGGGCCAGTTAGGCCAATGAGTAGGGCCCCTGCCTAAAATCTCAGGGGAACTTTCTGCTTTCCCTGTGCCATACTTTTATCTTCCCATACTTTTCTTCAGGAAAACATCTCACCAGACTCTTACCTTCCTCTTCATTCCATATGAGGTTCGATATACAAAACATAGCAGCAAGCTGCAGTTTGACATGTGAATGACCCTAGTAATATAGAAAAGGATTAAAAATGGAGGTGATCTCATTTCTGATCATTTTTTTTTTTGAGTAACATGTCATAGGTGATAATTAAATTACTCCTATTTCTGTAGAAGGATCAAAAAGACTAGACCCAATCTCTACTTTATCAAATGTATCAACTATCATTGAGCAGCCTTCTATCTTCTAACACATAATTCTTGTTTACTTTTGTTTATATACTAAAAGTACAACTATTTCTGGTTAAGTTGGATCATTTATCCATATAGAGTGCTTTTTCCTAAGTGAAAGAGGACTCATGAGTAAAAGAATCTTTTTTTTTTTGGTACCGCGGATTGAACTCAGGGGCACTGGACCACTGAGCCACATCCCCAGCCCTATTTTCTATTTTACTTAGAGACAAGGGCTCACTGAGTTACTTAGTGCCTTGCTTTTGCTAAGGCTGGCTTTGAACTTTCGACCCTCCTGCCTCTGCCTCCCGAGCCACTGGGATTACAGGCATGTGCCACCACGCCCAGCAGTAAAACAATCTTACAGGTTATTTACCTAGTGGTCAATTAAAAAAAAAAAAAAAAAAGCTAGCATATTTAAATAATTCATGCATAACTAATGGACTACCAATTACATAATATTCTTAATGGTTTCTTGAAGGTCAAGACAGATTTATCTCCTAAGTAGGACTGTACCTCTACCAAGAAGAAAAAGAAATGGACATGGCTTCCTCTGTTAGAATTCTATGCTTTGTGCTTCATCTTCTACCTGGCAACAGTTTTTAAGAGATGTCCAGTTTGAGCTCCATTAAGACCAAACAGAATAAAACTTACCATCTGCTCACAGCCTCAGGCCATCAATGGGTAAACTGAATAAATGAACTTGCATATACTATAAAATGCATTTACTATTTATAAGTTCATTAATCATTCAATAAAACTAGAGGGCAGGAACTTAATTTAGATGGTGCAGAGAACATTTCTTTGAAAGAGGCAACATTTTAACAGAGATTTAAAGAAGGAAGGTGCCAGATGTGTAAAAATCAAGAGGCTAGGGTTCCCAAGAACAATAGTTCCTGAAAAGATCTGAGGTAAGAAGATGTATATTCAGAGAAGGAGGCATGGCCAAATTGTGGGCCCTTTAAGACCAGAGCAGGGACTCTGGATTTCATTCTGAGTTCAAAGCTCTTATAGGATTTGTACAATGGAGGGACAAGATCTTATTTACACTTTTAGAAAATCACTTTGGCTGATGGGACTGAAGTAACAAAGCAGAAGATCCTGGAGGCTACTATGATTATGTAGTCAATCAGTCATAATATACTATGGCTTAGACCAGAAAGGGTCAGTGGTGATGGAAAGATATGAACAGATTCAAGATTAGTTTTGAAGGAAGAATTCATGGGACTTGGCAATAAATTAGATGAGTGAAGGTAAGAGCTAAAGAAATTAAGATAGACTGCCAGGTTTTGGCAATGGGGTAGATGGCAAAGCTACTAAACTAAATGGTAAAGACCAGGAGGTGAGACACGTAAATCTAAGGGAGATAGCTAAGAATTCATTTTTGAATACCAAACTTGAGAGGCTATCAGACAGTCACATAAAAATACTGAGTAGACAGGGAGATATGAGTCTAGAGTTCTGAAGAGAGGTTGAGGTTGGGGGCAGATACTTAGAAATCATCAGCACAGAAATGACAGTACAAGCCACAGGGTGGACAAGATTCTCCATGCCAATTGTTCTTAACTCTTTATGTAAGAACCACTCAGGGAACTTTTAAAAATCTGATGACCAGGCTATACTTCAGACCTTTTATATCAGAATCTTGGGAGAAGCAAGGCTATAGTCTCTGAAAGCTCCCCAGGAAATTATGTTGTATAGCCAAGGCTGTGAATCAGTGATTCAGGAAAGCTTGTAGAAGAAGGCGGCCCAGGCAAGAGGATCAAGAGAAGGTCATGGAAGCCAAGACAAAGAGATTTTCTGGAGGAAGAAACAGCAATGCTGAAGTCCGCTGTAAGTGGGGTAAGAAGTGGAGAGAAAGCACCGTTTGGATTTGGCATCACAGAGATCACTGGTGACCCTGACTAGAACAGTTTCAGGTGATGGGGATGGAGGCCAGATGAATTAGGTTAGAGAATGAACTTTGAGGTAAGGAGGGAGAAAGCATGTGCAGAAGATGCTTTTAAGAAATGTAACTTCAAACAGAAGCAGAGAGGTAGGTGTATGCAAGGTTAAGGGAAACTTTCTTTGCTTTTTGTTTTTGTAGTGAAGATTGAACTCAAGGATTCTTACATGCTAGGCAAGCACTCCTCTGCTGATGGAAGGACTGTCAAGAGATGAAAGCTACTATGTGGAAAGATCAGGGAACTCCTGGTTGAAGCAGGAGGTTTTCACTCAAGTTTACTGAGCTTATATGAAAGGCCAGGTACTACAAGGTGCTGGATACAGAACTGTGAACAAACTGATGTGTCCTTAATGTCATGGAGTTTATGCCTGGTAGAGGAGAGGCTCAGGTGGCACACTCACTATATCTGAGCTGAATGCTGTAAAGGCAAGAAACAGAATGCAGGAACACAGAATAAGAGAGGAAGGGTCAGTTCACCTTAGGTCTGAAGAGTGAGAAGGAGTGGGAAAAAAGTGTTCCAGGAAGAGAAGCCAGTATGTGTGACGATCCTCAGGCAGGCAAGAGCATGGCCTTGCCGAGGAAATGAAAGAAGAGAGCAAGGCAATGAGCGGGGGATGAGGAGGGGTTAAATTTGCAGTACATGATGGGCGGTCATAAGCGAGTATGGATTTGACTTCAAGGTGTACAAAGAGCCTCAAAAAATTTTAGCTTCTATTCTCTTAATAAAGCAAAAAACTAGGTCATCACTAAGAGTAATGGGGAGGGAAGAAATGAAGTTTAAAGAATGAGGAGAGGGTAAGAACCTATTCTTGTTTGTGGAGAATGGGGGTACCAAACTGCTTGAGAGTCACTGAAGGAAACCCAGTGAGGCTGAGTGCCCAGGTGGATTTTGTGAAGTGGATCAATCAATCAGCTTGTTCTGTCCTTCCTCTGCAATTGTTAACCGTGTGGTGACCAAGAGGAGGCAGGTTCCTCTGTGGTTAGAATTCAGTTAGGATATGTTGAAAATGAAAAGAGGAGGACAGATTTTAGCCATGGGTGATGAAATGATGTAGGGCATGGCCACAGCAGTAGGTGGCATGCTATTTGGAAGCAAACGGGTTGAGAAATTAAGGTGCCAAGGAAGCACCTTAGTTCCATGGGACTGAAGCCTTGAGAAGGGAGACAGAATTGGGGCACTGAGAGAAAGCCAAGAGCCCCCAGCTTCACTGGGTAAGGAGGCAATCAGTAGATGAGTGGAGTGGGGATTGGGGTGGTAGATGTTAGTATCTCCAATGGCATAAGCTTCAAGGAGTTAGTGTTTTCCACCCTTTTGGATGGAAGAGTACCCTGAATCTGTCACAATAATTTATTCTTCTTAGAAAATTCCTGCAACAACACTATAATCCCTGCCTTCCAATGCTGCAGTTTTGGGGGACAAGGGCTTACCATGTAATATTTGATTTTCTGCAGGATGTCATCATTAGTCATAATAAGTTCTTTTGCTGTTGTCCCATCTGCTATGTTGGCTAGGATGCAGAGCGTCTGAAAAAGAACAAGACCCAGAAATCAAGAATCCTCTGAGGCTCCCAGTCTCTCAAGAGTTTGGGCAATTTCTCACCTGAAGGTACATGTATTCTCACAGGTTCCATTATCAATGGCCCTGATTTCTCAACTCCTGACACTGCCAACAAAAGTAACCACCCCCAACCTGAGTCTACTTTAGGCAAAAACACATCAAACACTCCTAGGGTTTCTTGCTGAGCATTAAGCTGGGTAAAGTCATGTCATATAGGTCATACTATAGTACCACAAAAGGAAAAAAGAAAAAGTATTTTATTATTATTTTTTGTCTTGGAAAGCTCATTTCTGAGAGAAGCTCTTGTGATTAACCCACAGATTTCTTCAAAGTGCATTCAGTTTGGTGAATACTTCATTAGTGTTGTCCCCCTCCCTTCCCCAAGCCTCCACCTGCGACTTGCTCCCAAGCTAACAACCTCTGGGTGAAAGCCTAGACTATGTCCACCAGCTACACTGACCATGTGCAATTAGAACCTCTTAACTTTTTTTGACCCCTGTTAGAAGAACAGAAAAGGAAGCAAAATGTGTGAAGGAATGAAGTCCAGATTGACCTGCTGTGCAGACTGGAGGAAGCCCGTACCCACTGGTTCAATGGGACAATGGGACATCTAGAGGACAACCACTGCACTGCCTGGAGTTTCTTCTCAGAAGAAGAGATTGCTCTTGTCTGCTGGTCCTTTTTGATAGCTAAACCAGCAGATGGCAAGGGTTAAGGTAAAGGAGATAGGGCTATGGTAGGGGTAATAAGCTGGTGCCAGACTTAGTAACAGATTTACTGAACATCTATCATGGAGCTGCCTTCTGCAAGGCATGAAGCTGAGACAGGAATAAGATACACTCCTCGACTTGGAAACTGTGACATGAGGAATTACATTTCACTGTGGTATGATTAAAGTAGAACAGAGAACCAAAAAGCCTGAAGAGCAAGGGCCTGAATCCTGCAAGGGCCAGGAGGCTTCCAGGAGGAAGCGCCACTGACCCCTCCTGCAGTACAGTCAGCAATTGCTCCGGTAGGTTGAGTGGTGAAGTGGGGGAGAGACTAATAATTATCTCAAATTCTAACTTTTTTCTTTGCAAGACTTCAGTTTATTATGCCATTGAGGTTGTTTATTTTTTTCTTTTTTTACTCAGGCCTAAACCCTCAAATATACTAAAGGGTATGTAGTTTTATTCATCTAGATTAATACAGTGTAGTAACTAGATTTTTAGGGAGTGAACCCTGAGTTGTGAACTAGGAAAAGGGTGCCTCTAGGAAACAAGAGACGGAAGAAATACAATTTAGAATCATTCATACATATGTATGTATATAAATAAAATAAGGATATAATTTTATATATATAAATAAATAAAATAAGGAATATATATATTTACATATATTCCTAAGCGGACACTGGGGGACTAGCTAGGTAATGATGAGGAGAATCTGATCTTTCCCACAAGTTAGAGTTGACCTAGGGAAGATGTCAGATTTAAGAGTGATCTTTATTTACCAGAAGAGGCAGTGAGCTGGATTTAGCCCACAGGCCACAGTTTGCTAATCCCTAGTCTGTTTCATTGATTTCTAATTGTTCATATTAGTGGACATACACACATGTGTATTTTTTTTTAATCTCTGCTGTTCGGTATATTGAATTGATTTGGCCCTAGAACTAATTGAACTTTTTAACATTTGGTTTTATCTCCACAGAAATGTTTATAGTATGCTTTCCACGGGTCTATTCTAACACTCCAAAAAGAGGAATCAATCACTTATCTTGCTGCCCTAGTCTATTTTGAGGTATCTCCCTATAAATGTCATTCTTTCCAATGAATCTAAATGTATTCTCCTTTCCCCAGGGGCACCTTGGTCACGAAACCTTTTAGAATTCCTATCCATGGTCAGGGTCATTTCCATTATTTCTTTTTCTGCTTTAGCTAATTCATAGGATTGAAATGGGAGAAAATTGAGAAGAAGAAAGATTCTTCCATGTTCCCTTTGCACCCTCAGCCAGGCTCTACTTCTGTCCCTGCTGCTGGCTCTTCTTTTCCTGTTGGTTTTAGCCTGGCAGAGCCTCCTTCATGAAGACAGGTGATTTATTTACCACTGCCTGTTCTAGTAAATAAAGTTTTTCTGAAGAGGCCATGAATATTCACTTACATATTATCTTTAGTTACTTTCAGGATAGAACAGCATGGTTAAAGGGTTACTATAGAGATTGTATAGCATTATAGAAACTTGTAATACCAAAGCTCACTCAAGAATAAAGAACTTGAACAGTCCTGTTCCCACTAAAGAACTGAATGTGTAGCTAAACATCTTTTCACAAAAGAAACACCATGTCTACAAGGCTTCACTGAAGTTTCGACCAACATTTTAAAAAAAGAATACCAATTCTCTACAAATTCTCAAGGAAGATTGGAGAACATCCCCACCTTGTTTCCTAGAGCCAGCATTATCTCAATACCAAAACCAGATAAACACATTACAAGAAAACTATCCATTAGTATTTCTCAGAATGTAGAAGTATATGATCTGTATATGAAAACCTATAAAATATTGCTATAAAGAATTTAAAAAAAAACCTAACTAATTGGGAAGATAGTGTGTATTCGATGATTGGAAGACTCAATATTGTCACTTCTTCCCAAACTGATCTATTGGATGTCATTACAAATAAAATTCAAGTTGACTTTTTGGGGTTAAAAATAAGGACACAATTATTAAATACAGTAAAATTCACTTTTTGGTTTGATTTCTACCTGATAAATGTATAAAATCTTATAACTCTCACCACAATCAGCATTAAGCATGCAGAATGGTCTTCTGTCTCCCTCCCCACTTGCCCTATGTTATCCCTTTACAGTCCCTTACTCCTCCCTTAAGTCTGGGATATGTTTGTTCTCTCTTCTATGACTTTGTCTTCTGCAGACTCATAGAAATAGAAGCATAGAGAATGCTTCTTTTTAAATTGGGCTTCTTTCATGTAGCATAAGGCACTTAAGATTCATCCATGTTGTTGAATGCATCAACAGTTTGTCTTTCTTTATTGCTGACTGGTATCCCACAGTGTATTCACTGCCCAGTTAAGGGACATCTGGCTTGTTTCTAGGTTGTGGTGATTACCAAAATAGTTGTTATAAACTTTTTTTGTTGTTCATATGCAAGTTTTTGTGTGAATATAGGTTTTTGCTTTATGTGAACACATGCTTAGGAATGGGATTGTTGGGTTTATGGTAAGTAAAGTTGGCACTCCATTTCTATGGATTCCACATCCATTGATTCAACCAACCATGGATGGAAAATATTAAAAAAAAAATGTGTTCATACTGAACATGTACAGGCTTTTTCTGGTCATTATTTTTTAAAAAATGATGATTATTTATATAACCTTTATATTACATTAGATATTATAAGTAGTCAGAGATGATTTCAAGTATACAGGAGGATATGCCTCGGTTATATGCAAATACTATGCCAATTTATGTACTGATCTGGAGGGTCTGTAGATTTTGGTATACCTAGGTGTTCTGGAACCAATCCCCCACAGACACTGAGGGATAACTGTATATCTTCAATCTTAAAAGACACTGCAAAACCCAAAGTGTATCATCTGCATTGCCATTTGATGTACTATCAGTTTTAAAATATTTTTAACCAATCTAAAAGAGTGTACTGATATTTTATCATGGAGTGTCTGTTAATATTGTTCACTTGGCTTTTTTATTTGGTTGGTTTTTTGCTTATTATTTTGAGAGCTCTTTATATATTCTGGATAAAAGTCACTGTGTCCAATGTGTCCATAAGACATAGGATTATTCATAAATATTTCCTTCAGGTGGATGCTTTGTCATTTCATTCTCTTACAGTGCATTTCAAAAATAGTTTTACATTCTGATGAAGACCAGTTTTCCCTTTTGGATATTTATACTGTCATATCTAAGAACCCTTTGCCTAATCTTTCAAAGATTTTCTCTATGCCTTTTCTGTTATGCCTATGAATAAATTTTCATCTAAGTTGTGAGATATAATCCAAGTTAAATTTTTTGGCAAAATATTTTGTCAAAAATTGTTACAGCACCATTTGTTGAAAATGGTGCTTTCACATGTTTGTCAGTAATCAATTGCCATATATGTGTGGGCCTATTTCTGGACTCTAATCTGTTGTATTAATGTGCTACCTATTTGCTGATGGCATACTGTCTTGATTACTCTATTTCATAGTAGATATTCTAGCATTTACATTTATATTAATGTTTATAAGAGATATGCTGGGATTTTTATTAAGATAATGTTGAATCAGTAAATCTCCTTGGGAGAATTTTAACATAATATTCTCTAAATGGTTAAAATGTTAAATGGAATTTTAACATAGTATTCTCTATTTATTGGATTTCTTTCATTATCAGAGTTTTGTCATTTTCAGTGTACAGATCCTTCTGAAATTTATACCAAAGCATTTCATTTTTTTCTGAGCTACTATTAAATGGCACTGTTTCCACTTCTAATTGTTCAGTGCTTATATGTAAAAATAAAATCAATTTTTCTATTTTGTGACCTGCTTATTAACTTATTTATTAGCTCTAGATTTTGGGGGGTGGGAGGGTACCAGGAATTGAACTCAGGGGCACTTAACCACTGAGGAACATCCCCAGCCCTATTTTGTATTTCATTTACAGACAGGGTCTCACTGAGTTGCTCAGCACGTCACTTTTTAAAAAAAATATTTATTTTTTAGTTTTAGGTGGACACAATATCTTTATTTTATTTTTATGTGGTGCTGAGGATTGAACCCAGTGCCTCACGCATGGTAAGTAAGCACTCTACCTGTGAACCACAACCCCAGCCCCAGCACGTCACTTTTGCTGAGGCTGGCTCTGAACTTGCAATCCTCTTGCCTCAGCCTCCTAAACCGCTGGGATTATAGGCATGCGCCACCACGCCCATCAGTTCTAGATTTTTATGATGAATCTATGGCACTTTCTATTTATGTTGTCTGGGAATAGTTTTGCTTCTTCCTTTCCAATCTGTATATCTTTTTTTCTTGACTTACTATACTTGGTAGATATAACAGTATAATGTTGAACTGGATTGGGACAGATGAACATTCTTGTCTAGTTCCTCTTTTTTTAAAGAGAGTGATAGATATGTTCACCATTTTGGTTATGGTGATGGTTTCATGGGTATTTACACACATACAAACTTATCACTGCAACATACCGAACATCAATTAGGCCTAGATTAAAAAATTATTCATTAGATATTTTTGAGAAGCATTAAACTTCCAGCTAAGGACTAGGCAGTTTAAGCATTCCATACTTGTCTACTTCTGGATCATCTCCAAAATCTGTATGAGAGTGTCATCTGTTTCTTACAAAAAAACCCCACTGTTGTTGGTCTTTTTGTTTGTCCTCATCTAAATCTCACCTAGCCTTCCTGCCTTGCTTTACTTTTCAAGTTAGGGAAATTCTATCCAGGTGAGCTATCTTTCCTAGACAAAATCTATTCCACTGGTCTCCCAATAGAATAGTTTCTTCTGAACAATGTATTTCCTGTTAATAAGATTTCCAGTAATGAATTTCATCTCATTTCACTTCAGTGATGCTTTGGAGATTAATTTTAAGAAAAAAATTGGGGGCTGGGGTTGTAGTTTAGTTGGTAGAGTGCCTGCCTTGAATGTATAAGGCCCTGGGTTCAATCCCCAGCGCTGCCAAGAAAAAAAAAAATTGATTGGCCTGACTTTAAAAAAAAAAAGAAAAAAATCATCGAAACATCTTAAAAGCAGTCTGTCAATCTAACATTTTCTGTTCATGAATTACATCACAGCTGCTAAGTCCTTCTGCTCTTACTCCTGGGACTGCTCTTTGGAAGCTGGCTGAACTACTCCAGCTCCAGAACACAGAGGAGGAGAAGTCTGGGCCCTGCACTTAGACTCTATGCCTAACTTTCCACTAATGATTTTGGCAAGTTTCTGGCATTAATATAGGCATACATATATGTGTATGACTCAATAAATTTAAACCTAACACCTCAGATTCTGGGTAAAAATCTTAAATTTGCAAGTGACCTTTATTTTTATGGCAAAGTAAAATATATATATAAAACATTAAAATTGCCTTGATATCTCCCAGAAAATACAGAAAAGTGATTCCCATGCGGTTCCCTGATAAATGCAGTGTCCATACTTTTATGTCTACCACAATCTTGCCCTACTAAAATCCAACAGAAAGGGGGAGTTCAGGTGGTGACTAAGAACAGAAGATGCCTAAGAGTAAAGAAACCAAAACCATCAACAGGATAAGAAATTCTCTGACCAGGGAGTTGTAAGAGTTTGGGTTTATAGCACGGTGGCAGAAAGGGCTAGAAATAGTGAATTCTGGAGAAAGGAATAATTCCAGGATGACCAAAGAAGGCTGCTACTTTAAAGACAGGGACAGTGTATACAATGTGTGACACAGGGGGAAACTATAGACTCTGGTCATGTTTTTTTCTATTCCAGGAAGAAGAAATATTGAAGAGTTCAAGGGCTGATGGAGCCTCTCTCTTGCCTATGGACCCTCCATAGCAGCGCACCCTGTCTTCTTCAGACCTGAACATTTTAGGAGGTTCCTAACTAAGATCTGCCTTTGTACTCACATTCAGAAAATACTCCCCAGGAGAAAAGACACATACCTGCTCTTTGACCTCAATGTTATGCTCCCCTTCCAGAATAAGGGTGACGGCTTGCATAATTTGCTTTCCATGAGTACTCATTATTTTATCTATATGCTGTAAAACAATGGGAAGGCCACGGTTATCATCTGGGAAACGAAAAGCCCACAGAAAGAACAGAAAGCTTCTAAAAGTTAACATTCTATGATACACAGTTGCTTCAAGCAGAACAACACAGCATATAGAACGAGATGCCAAAGAATAGTATTTATTATACTGTAAAGCTGCATTTTGCCTTCAAATACGTTTCTGAATGACTTTATTACAAAGAGAACATAGAGTTGGTCTGATAGAATATAGAACTAAAATCAGTGGGAGTGCTCAAGCCCAAAGATATTAAACAAAAAGGAAGCATAAAATTATGGATTGGGGGGCAGACATGGAAAATACAGTATAGGTATTAATACTATCTTGGAGCACAACTGTATGAAGATGATTCAAAAGACAAGCAAAGCACAGAGAAGTAAAATATGACCATGTTTCTTCATCCACCTGAAGTGGTCACCTGACATGGTTGGTCAGGGAACATCACAGAACTACACTGAGTGTGACCCCACCAGCAAAGCTGTGCCTTTTCTATTGACAAATGCCCACTAATCTCCACAATGACATCTCCAGAGGTTAATCCAATAAATGTGGGAGGGGAAGGTATGGGAGTGTCTATGGAACGGCATTAAGAAGAGTTCTCTAAATCCAATCAAGCAGAAGCCTCAGAGAAAATGATTCAGGCAGATGAAAAATGTGGCCAGCAAGCCAAGCAAGAATAAAGTAACAAATCAAGGCAGATATATATTTGGTGCAAAGGGTGGAGAGACAGACAGGATGGGCAGTACAGCAGTGTTGGGCAGGGGGGCTCCCAGAACACCTATGAAGGTGGCAGGTCAAGACATCAACTCCATGCTTCTCTGAAAAGGGGCAACATTTGAGTCATACTCAGAGGTAGATGTTGGGGATTAGAGACAGCAGTGTTGGGTTAGGGACACGGAGGGCTAGCTAATCTGGAAGCCTGGGTGATTTTACTTACAGGCCGAGTAGAAAGGAGATTTCTAAGAAGTCCCAATGTCTTCATCAGCACGTTCAAATCTGAATCTGATAATAACCGGAATAGCTGTTCAGTACTCAAGCTTCGTAAAATATCTGCTTTTATTTTTTGTTCAGCCTGAAATGCCATATTCTGAAAGGATTAAAGAAGTTGCAAGAATCATTTCTATATTTATTTTATTAAATTATATAATTTTTATTTTTGTAGTAATTCTGATAATTTTCAAAGTATAAACAGAATCTGTTAAAATCCTTAAGCATGAGTAATACTATTTTTCTAATTCCTGTTAATTTCCTATATTTCTATTTGTCAAGAGAAGGATAACTGCTACTCTTAGGTATACACCTATAATGATGAATATGATTACTTTCTGGCATGGGCATTTGAAGGTCTTAAGGTTTCTCAGATAAATACAAAATGTATTTATTACTTTTGAGAAGTAATAAATACATTTTGTATTTATGGTTATCAAGTTGCCTTCCCTGTATTTTAGAAACAATATGACCATTTTTTTAAAAATTATGTTTAGTTGTAGACAGATACAATACCTTTGTTTATTTAGTTTTTTTTTTTAATGTGGTACTGGAGAAGATGGTTATTTCTATTTCAAAGTTCGGATGAAAACAAAGCAGATGTGGAACAGGAAGAAGAGTACAGATTGGGACAGCTTCAGAACCCATTTCCATACTTACTAGCTGTGAGGCCTTCTCCCTCACAATTCATTTAACTTCCTGGAGTCCTAGTTTCCCATTTGTAAGGTAGATATATACCAATATAACTTAAAATAAGAATTAGAGGAAACAAGAGTATCTGGTATACAGCAATTAAATTATAACTACTATAATTATGTTTTTAAAATATCATGTAGGATTACTTCCTTTCCAATTTCAATAAAACTTACTTTAATGATCGTAAGGAAAAAGGGTTGTGTGTGTGTGTGTGTGTGTGTGTGTTTCTTTTATTCATACATTTATTCATTCATTTATTGCAGTACTGAAGACTGACTCAGCTCATGGTAGGCAAGTGCTCTACCACTGAGTTATACCTAAACCCTTTTTATTATATTTTGAGATGGGGCCTCACTAAGTTGCCAAGGCTGGCCCTTAATCCTGTGCCTCAGCCTTCTGAGCTGTTATTATGGGTGTGCACTACACTGTCCAGTTGATGTCATAATTTCAAAATCCATTATTATAAATTATTTATTAGAAAATGTTAAATTATTAAGCATTTACGTTCCAAACCTATAATCTTGGCAATTTATTTAATCACTCTGAAAAGCATATGAGGCGATCCGTGTTATTAGCTCAATTCAGGTATTATACAATGTGTACATATTTTAAAACATGTTGTACATCTTAAACACATGCAATTTTTGTCAATTAAAAAATCAGCTGTAAAGTATGATAAGAATACTCAGTCTACTTCATAATGTTGTTCTTTAGAGCAAAGAAGAGAATAAAATACTTTGTAAAGTAGGCAGCTCTCTAGAAATATCACTATATTCATGGTAAAAAAAAAATTTTTGTTTTCCCAAGATTAAGTAACTGAAGTTTCAACATCTGTTCACTTTTCATAATAATAAGAAAACAGGCATACTATGGCCAAGCAACTTGCTTACAGTCAAATCTGAAAGTTGAATACCATATCTTCTAGGTTCTAGGTCATTAGAAAACTGGGCCATAATAGCCAGGTTTTTAAAACAGAAAATTCCTGACATTTCAAATAATACATTCTTTAGTTCTAAGTTTGAGAATTACATAAATTATGAAATAATAAAAAATGTAAAACATACCATTAAAGCCCAAATTCCATTCACTCGTAAAGCAGGATTTTCACTCTGGGTTAATCCACAAAGTAGCTCTACAGCTCCTGATTCTAAAATTGGCTGTGATTGCAAAAGTTTAAGAAAAAAAAAAAGAGAGAGAGAGAGAGTTTTATAGTCCAATTTGCAAAGTAAATGTGTATATACCCTAGTATTATATAATTTGTTTCCCATTCTTACTCAGTTCCAAGCAAGCTTCAAAAAGCAGGAGTGATACAGCCACAAAAATCACCTTGAGGAGGGAAAGGACACCTTTTCTCTCACAAATATCATCATCATTGTGCCATATTCTTTCTTTGCAGTCCTGACAGACTCTGGAGACTCTGACCGTCTGTACTTCACATACACAGCCTGTGTGACCACCGTCTAGTTACCCACCCTCACTCTCACCACCCTCTGACACTGGCCCTGCCTGCCTCATTTGTGTACGGACTTTGTTTGCTGCTTACCATCTAGGATTATGAAGCAGTGGTTGGTTTAGGAAAGAAATATAACAGAACTTAGATAACCAAATCGTCCTCTTTCCAAACAGTCAATTTTATTCCTAAATGCTATGGAATTCATCTTTGAGAACTATTTTCGGGACCACTTTTCAATTTTGTAAGCAAAACAGATTTGTACTTTTATAGTCATGCCACATTTTACACTGAAAATAGCATGCTTTAGTCTGACCACTTACTGTAGTAAGTACTAGGCTGACAATGAGTTTCTTTCTGGCAATTTCTAGAAAAATTCAAAATTTAGAGGATTAAGATTTATTATCATTAATGTTTAAAGGCCATCTGACAAGTGGATTCTAGAAATGTCTTAAGCAATTCAGATTTCCATATTTAAAAGTGCAGTGCCTTGCAAGATGACATTTTTGAAAGAGTAATATACTCTTCTATTTGTACAAATTGTGGTATTTTTTAACATTTTTTCTATAGTTGCTTTATCATCTCTCATTTTGTTCACCTACATCCACATTATTTTATCTTACCATTTGAAATCTGAGTGCACATACCATGCCCTTTACCCTTAATGTGTATTTCCTAAGAAGTTTATTCCCTTACACAATCACAGTATAGTTAACAACTTCAGAAAAGTTAACATTAAATTAAAACAATACTTTTATCATTCTATAGTCTCTATTCCAGTTTTACTAATGGCCCAACAATTTGTTATAGCATTTCCCTCCCTTCCAGAACAGAATCGAGTTTATTTTTAATATTTTAAAAAATGATCATTATTAATGATTCTTTGCCTGAGTTCTTCCACCTAAATTTCCCTAAATAGTGGACCCTAAATATTCTGAAGGTAGATCTGATCATGATCTAGCCAAGACCCCACTACTAGGCAGAGAACATGCTGGAAACTCTGCCCTACTCTTCTGCCTTTCTCTGCTTCCAGTCTCTCCCATTTTGTTCTAAAATTTTTAATAACTGTCTTTGAACCTCCACCTGTCAATACTGCCTTCCTGAAGAAAATCAATTCAACAAAAATGGGACTACTCAAGGAACTGAACAGGCACTTCACAGAAGAAATACAATTTGCCAACAAATATATGAAAAAAATGTTCCACATCTCTAGCAATTACAGAAATGCAAATAAAAACTACACTGAGATTTCGGCTCACTCCATCCAGTCAGAATGGCAATTATCAAGAATATAAGTAATAATAAATGTTGGTGAGGATGTGGGGAAAAAGGTTCCCTTTCACATTGCTGGTGGGGCTGCAATTGGGGCAACCACTCTAGAAAGCAGTACAGAGATTCCTCAGAAAACTTAAAATGTAACCACCATTTGACTGTTATTCCAAACCTCGGCATATACCCAAAATACTTAAAGTCAGCATACCATAGTGACACAGCCCCACCAATGTTTATAGCATCTCTGTTCACAATAGCTAAGCTATGATACTAACTTAGGTGACCTTCAACAGATTATTGAATAAAGAAAATGTGGCACATACACACAATGGAATATTACTCAGCCATAAAGAAGAATGAAATTATGGCATTTGCTGGTAAATGGATGAAACTGGAGACTACTGTGCTAAGTGAAATAAGCCAATCCCCCCAAAACCAAAGGCTAGATGCTTTCTCTGATATGCAGGTGCTAACACACAATAAAGTGGGCAGGGGAGAAGTACATTGGATTAGACAAGGGTAATGAAGGAAAGGGAGTGAGATGGGAATAGAAAAGACAGTAAAATAAATCAGACATTAACTGTCCTATGTTCATATAAGAACACACAACCAATGTAACTCCACATCATGGACAACCACAAGAATGGGAAGTTATACTCCATGTATGTATAAGATGTCAAAATATACTGTCATATATATCTAAAAATATTAAGAAGAATTTTTAAAAATTAAAAGAATAAATAAATAAGGTCTGAGATATGTACAAAAACAAAAATGGGACTGCTAAATGTCCAATACACTTGAGTTCATGATTTGGTAGGCCAGATTTTTGTTTTGTTTTAGTGTTAGGAACTGAACACAGAGCCTCATGCATACAAGGCCCAGACACTACCAGCACCAAACCAGAGATATTATAATACAGCCAAGCTGATTTTTTAAGGTTTGCCCCTCTACTAATTCTAGTTTTCCCTATTTAAAAAAAAAAAAAATACAATTTTGATTAATTTCTAAAATGCAGAAAGAGGGGTGGGAAAACATATTCTCTCCTTTCCCAAACAACTGCCATCAATATTAGAAACCAAAAACTAATCCTGGTTTACAAAAATGAGTCTTAATTTATTCTTTAGTATAGGTATAGTTTGAAAATAGTCTATTGTTTGCAAAATTATTTTTTATACTTGCAGATTAGATTGACTATAAACTGTAATATCTTAATAATTAATTAATTAATTAATGTACTTCTTTATTTATTTTTGAGGTGGGGTCTTGCTATGTTGCCCAGGTTGGTCTTGAACTCCTGGGCTCAAGGGATCTTCCCATCTCAGCCTCCTGAGGAACTGAGACTACAGGCACATGCTACTCTGTCTAGCTTTGTAATGTCTTTTATTTTTTTATTTTATTTTATTTTTTTAAATATTTATTTAATTTTTTAGTTCTTGGCGGACACAACATCTTTGTTTGTATGTGGTGCTGAGGATCGAACCCGGGCCGCACGCACGCCAGGTGAGCGTGCTACCGCTTGAGCCACATCCCCAGCCCATTGTAATGTCTTTTAAAAAACTGAATATGCTAGGTAGAATAGAAAGAATATTGGGAAATAATAGTCATATTAAAAAATGATCACCTCCATCAAACAATTCAGAAGTAGTTTTTATACCCAATCCATGTATTTCAATGTCAACAACTGTGAAAAGTTAATTTGACTAAGTGCTAGCTGGAACAGGCAACATCATGAAAAGAATATCAATACTAACCTCTTTGCTTGGAGAAAATTCAAGAAGAAGATTACATAACATGGAAGATGCTACTACTAGGATTTCATCTGGTGCATTTTGTAAAACCTTTGGAATAAACAAAAGGATACCATTAATGATTTAGAATCATGGAGGTGAGACCACAGAAGACAATATAAAAATAATTATCTCTAAACTTGATTTCTCACATGGAAGAGACACAAGGTTTAAAATACAACTTATGAAATTCAGAAGTTGACATCTAATGCTAAATTTCACCAAAAGGACAAAAAATAATCATGAATAAAACTTTTAATTAAAGTCCAAGCTTATTCTCTTGCAATTTGCTAACAATTTAAAAAATGGAAAAAAACAAGAGAAATATCAGCAGACCTGCAGATAGATAGCCTCTGAAATATGAGGAACCAAAAAATATCTAAAGCAAATCATTGGTTTTCTTCCAAGTTTTTAATATTATTTTAATACTTTAAAAGTCATAGTTTGAGAGTAATTATACCCACATGTACCCAAATGCACAAAATCTTTCTAGATTACTGCTCATCAGACCGCTTCCCTGGGGGAACTAGACAGAAATCATATAGTGTTCCATTCTGATTTGTATGTCAGAGGAGTTCTGAACTGAGCTTAACTGAGGAGAGTCTCTGAAAATCCACGAATGCCAAACCCAGTCCCAATGGTCTTAGATAAGGGATTGTGAATCTGAAATGGATTTTTGTTGGTGGGAGCCAGCATGTTCCTGGAACAAAGTGTCCACCCAGTGTAGAAAGGCACTGATGTTATAGTTGGAGAATGGGGAGTGGGCAAATCCCCTGAGTTTATAGCTTCTAAGTTAGGTTCAGGCAGCAAAAGGAGAGCAGAGAATGAGGAATATTCAGAAGGGCTGACATATGTCCAATTGAATGAAACAGGGTGAAACTCAGGGAGGAGGGGCAATGGAAGGAAATGGGTCAAGTTCAATGTCACAGATTGCTTAGGTAGGCCAACTGGAAAGCAGAAATTCTGAAAAGTCTCAGAAGGCCCTATTGTGACGATCTTTTAGAACCTCTTGGTGTCCTCTGACAGTTCCTAATTGGGTGGTTACGTACCCAATCCTGTCATTCCTTCCACTTAAATCTTCGGGGTTCACACTGTCCTTATTCCAGGACCTCAACACATAAATCATGTACTCTGCCATCATGAACCTCCCCATAAGAAAGGCTCAGCATGTCAACTTCCAAAGCCTATGGTACCGATTCATCTCTTCTATCTGTCTAGTGCTTATCTGTTCACTGGTATGCCTGTCTCATCATACCTGACCCCTCTATGGCAGTCATAAAGGGATCCTTGCTATTTCCTACATATACCACACATAATGTTTCTGCTCTTGCTATTCCTCTCCCTAGAAAATTCTCCTGGTCCTTTTTCCTTCAAAGCCACATCACATTATTTCTTTTTTTAAAAAATTGATTTTATTTTTTAAATACACGACAGCGGAATGCATTACAATTCCTATTACACATACGGAGCACAAGTCTTTATATATAAAGTATATTCATGCCAATTCATGTCTTTATACATGTACTTTGTGTTTTTTTGCATTACAATTCTTATTACACATATATACCACAATTTTTCATATCTCAAGTTTTTATATAAAGTATGTTGACATCCAATTCGTGTCTTCGTACATGTCCTTTGGATAATGATGTTCATCACATTCCACCATCCTTGCTAATCCCCTGCCCCCTCCCTTTCCCTCCCACCCCTCTTCCCTATCTAGAATTCATCTATTCCTCCCATGCTCTCCCTCCCTACCCCACTGAGTCAGCCTCCTTATATCACAGAAAACATTCAGCATTTGTTTTTTGGGGATTGGCTAACTTCACTTAGCATTATCTTCTCCAACGCCATCCATTTACCTGCAAATGCCATGATTTTATTCTCTTTTATTGCTGAGTAATATTCCATTGTATATATATGCCACATTTTTTTTTTATCCATTCATCCAATGAAGGGCATCTAGGTTGGCTCCACAGTTTAGCTATGGTGAATTGTGCTGCTATAAACATTAAGCCACATCACATTATTTCTGCGTGAAGTCTTTCCTGATTGTTTCTGTCACACTTACTCTAACCTAAAGTTTAAGCCAGGGCAAGAGCTCTGTAGTAAAAAATTTTAGTAGCCTCCGTGTCTGAAGGCTTGCTTAGTCTTAAGCAAGTACTCAAAAACAAAAGAAAAAAACCTAAATAAACAGAAAATTCTTTGAACTAAATGCAAGGGATATATATATAAAATCATTAAAAAGATGAAAGATCAAGGTAACCTGTGGTTCTGTGATAAAACAGAGCTAATATTATTAGCAGCAACCTGCTACTCTCCCAATTCATATTCATTTGCCCTGAATCCCCCCCAACCTTTTTTTTTTTTTTAATTGGGTTGGGAGTCCTCAAGAGCAGATCTGATGCCAAAAAAAGTTACTGTTAAAAAATATCCAGGTGAAACTAGAGATCATCCAGTTAAGTGAAATAAGTCAAATCCACAAGGTTAAGGGTTAATGTTTTCTCTCATATGTGGAAACTAGAGAGGAAAACAAAGGTAAGGGTGATCTCCTAAAAATCAAAGGGAGATCAGAAGAGGAAAGGGACCAAGAGTTGGGACATAGACAAGGAGGGGGGAAATGCTCGAGAGAAATGTTGACCAAATTATTTTGTTATATTGTATACATGCACAAATATGTAACAATAAATCCCATCAATTCATACAACTATAATATGCCAATAAATAAATGAAGAAAAAATTCAAAGATTGCCAAAAGACTAAGAACAACCTGTTATATCTGGAAATGGATAATGCTTTTCTTTTTTATAACTAAAAACTACAAGTTCAAAGAGTAATACTCAACATGAAGGAAGATCAGATGAGTAACTACAGCAAATCAGGTTTGTATTTTCCCCCCCACACACAAGATGTCAATCTCAGAAACATAGTCTGTAGATTTGTAGATGCTCAAAATATCAGATTCAAGGAGACAAATGTTCAAAATGTCCTACCCAAGTCAGACACACTCCTCGACCCTGGAGTGCCACTGGCTCACTCAGCTCACAAAGCCGCTGTGTGAATGGGTCACTTAATGTCCCTTTCTTCTTACCTTCATTAAAGGTTTCCACACAGCATGATCCTGAAAACTGGTTCGAAGTTGCTGTACAGATCTCGATAAACTGTGCAAACATCTACAAAGAATAATCAAAATTAGCTTTCTAAGAAGCCAAAACTTACTTCTCAAATAAACTGCTTGGCTTTTCACTATTACTAGTGTACATTTCAAGTACATCTATAGAGAGTAAGTCAACTATGTCAGGACACTTCATGGGCTTTGGAGGCTGGGTTTTCTGTTAGGTGATGTTACACACTGTATGAATTCACCTGAGCATACTTTCCAGTAACATTTGGATTCTGTGCTTACTTGGTGAAGGACCGGAGAGGAAACAAGTTAAACACACAGCAAAAGATGTTTATTCAGACCATTTAAAGCTCATACCTGACGGCAGCTAACCGCACCTTGACACTAGACTCAGACAAGCCAGTCACAATTCGGTCCATCATATTTTCAGTCTCAATGATCTGGAGAAAAAGGTTAATGCTGCATAAATAACAACATGAAGGTGACAAACTTCAGTGCTTGTAAATGCAAGTATGTTAATGTCCATTAAACTTTCATGTTTTTGGTAAAAGTTTTTACCTCTTGAACAATCATCTCGCAGTAAGGGAAGGCAGCTCATCAGAAAGGTAGGGCTAGCCCACTAAGGACAAGCCAGGATGAACGACGGGCATAGGGGCAGGTTATGTTTCTTTATTTTTAAAGACAATTAAATGGTATTAAGTATTGCAGAGGTGTTGCATAAATAACCTTGGGGGGAAAAAAAGAGAGGTATAACTAAATTCCTATTAGGTAAGTTCCTGCCAGAGAAAGATTCTAGAAAATCATAGTTCACACTCAGTCTTCAAGAAGTGAAATTTATCATTTTTCTGACAGAGTCACCCTGTGGTTACTTTCTTACCATGACCATTGAAACAAAGTTAAGTATCTGGAAAAGCATCATTTGCCATCTTTCACTATGGCACCAACTCCTGCTGTATCACCCACGAAGCAAGTCAAGCTTCAATCATGAAGCTTTATTCTTTTTATGATGGACTACAATTTTCCTTCAAGTAATGTACAGAGCCAAAATAAAGTATTCAGAGGAAATGAAGTTTAACTTGTGTGGGCACATGGAAAAAGAATAAAGTGTTAATGCCATCACAAAAAAGATTAACAAAAACAATGAATATTTGTTGAGGACTTCTACGTGCCAGGCATTGTGCTAAACGTGTTATATCATCTAATTTAATCCTCAATGTCTTGTAAGCATTATCATGATTATTCCCATCCACACATTAGGAAATTGAGGATTCTAGCTAATACAGTTTTCCTGGAATCAAAGTGCTAAACCCAGGCATCTGACTCCAGAGTCCATATGCTTAGCCATACATGTTATTCTGTCCTGGTTAGAGAAATAGTTCTATATTTATCAGGTATTGCCAGTATGGGAGTCATATTTCCATTAATGGGAGTCATTATCTTGCCTGGCAGAATACCAAAGATCTTAACCCTAGCCACACAGAACAACCTCCTAAAGAGCTTTAAAAACAGAAAGGAAAAAAAAAATCCTTATGTTCAGGTCACACCAATTAAATCCTTTTCTCTGGGGTGAGGCCCAGGAACCTGTATGTATGTTTTTTAAAAAAGTTCCTGAGTTTGGTGGAACCAATGTTGAAGATCACTGATCTGGAGTAAAATCTGGAGGATTCTGAAGCCTGATTTCAGAACAGGCAAGGGTGGGAAACCTCAGGATCTTCCAAGCCAAACAGGAAGACTGCAGGAAATAGAAATGAAATTAACATTGACCAGGAAGAAGAATATCTACTATTCAAAACAGGGAGCCACACGTTAGCTGTAGGTTCAGAACAGTAGTTTTCATATAAGTTCCCAAAGTGGCCAAAGTACATGAATATGTCGATCCACTCCTTATCCCAGACTAAATCTGATCCTGTGCTGACCTTTATGCTCACCCACTCTATTCTCCCATCTCTAGCTCCTACCCCTTTCTCAGTCCATTCATTCTTTTCAACTCTACCCCAACCCCAATATGAAAGTCTGACTGCTTGCTCTCTCAGCAAACACTACAGCACCTGGGTGTCCTCACTGCTGGCTCACCAGCCTCGTATTCACCTGCAGAAGACCTCCATATTCCCTACCTGCCATTTCAATTTCTTCCAACATTACTCACCCCCTCAGCCCTTCTGTGCCTACCTCAAATTTGTAGGGGAATATGGAGGTCTAGGATTAGAGCTAGGATTAGGGCTAGGGTTAAGGTTAGAATTACGGCTAGGATAAGGTTTCTTCTGGGGACACAAGCTGTCTCAACATTTTGTTTTAATCAAATTAATTAATTAATTAATTTAAAGACAGGGTCTAACTATATTGCTCAAGCTGGTTTCAAACTCCTGCACTCAAGTGATCCTCCCACTTGGGCCTGCTGGGATAAAGGTATGCCACCATGCCTGGCTCAACTTCCCACTTCTTATTGAAATATCTTTTGTCTTTGCTAGGCTGAAGTTGAGTACTTTAAGCTCAAAGCCCTTCTATCTTCACCCAAAAACCACCTTCCCATTCCTTTTTGCCCACCGGATTCTCTCCCTCAGCTTGCCTCACCTCCTGTTTCCACCCCTAAAGACAAAGGGTCCACACTTCAACCTCTAGAAGCTACAATCTCCTCTCTGCTTCTCATCCTTAAAGGGATCTGTGTTCCAAAGGTTCTGTCCAACTCTCACTCTACATAAGACAATGTTGTGACTTCAAAACCAGTTTGGTATGAGTAATTTCCTAATCTAAAGTTTGCTCCTAGAATTCTTTCCTCATATCTAGTTCCATACTTCCAATGATATGGATGTTCAGTGGAATTTCTGATTGTTCATGTCCCATGCCACGTTTTCTGCCTACCTCCTTGCCCCCCAGTCCAGGCTAAACCTGTTTCTTCTTTATGTCTTTTTGTCTGTCTCTGCTTATTTTGTTAGTCAGCCACCCAGGCACTAGATCTGTATTATTATTATTTTTTAACTTTATTTTATTTATGTATCTTTTATGTGGTGCTGAGGATCAACCCAGTGCCTCACATGCTAGGCAAGTTTTCTACCACTGAGCCCCAGCCCCAGCCCCAGCCCCAAATCTGTTATTAATTTTTACTTCAACTCTCTCCCTTAACACCTAATCAATTTCCTTTGCACTATGTCTTATATTCATCCCACCACCATTCTCACTCCATTAAAATAGTTAGGACTTTATTACTATTCCCTTGGGGGGACAGTAATATGTTTTCCAAATTGCTTCATCTTTTATTGTTACAGCAACCACAGAAGACTGGCTGGTTGATGGATTAGTTACTTCAGTCAAGCACTAGTCACTGTTCTTGAAAGAGGCAAAGCTAAACCAGGACCTTCCCCAAGGAGAAAAAATTATAACCTGGAGGCAGTCTCAGGCACTAAAGGGCTGGGGAGTGAATCCTGGAACCTTCTGATGCCTTAGGAAATTATTTTTACTTAGAAAGAGTAGTAGTAACTGGGAAGAAACAGTTGCCTGTGTTGGACAGTTACAATATCAGAGAGTAAGTGGGAGAGAAGTACGGGATTGAACGGATGAGACAAGTGATTACTCTCCAAGAAGAACTACAAATACTATTAGCACTGCTTCCAAAAGTGCTTAGAACCTAAGGCCCAGCAAGGTAAAAGACACTTCTGGATAAAATTTACTGACCAATTTAACCAAATATGTAACTCTACCAAGGGAGGGAACCAGTGCAGCAATCATTTAGGTATTTTATAAAGTTTATCTCCATAGAGCTTGGGCCACGAGTCACAGATCCTTGAAATTGTTTGGCACCATGAAAAATCCTAATTCTATACATGAGATGGGCCAGATGATTCTACAAGCTTAATATGGGCTGAAGTCCAGACTGATCCTTCCCAAAGTTAATAAAGCTGACAATCAAAGAACCTGGAGAAAGGGAACAGGGTGTGAGCAAAAATAAAATGAGTGGGTAGATAACTCAGTGGATGAAGCAGTAAGGTGAATGTTGTGGGGTGGGTTTCCTGTATTAATCTTGAGCAACTCACTCACTTTACCTTCTCTGGACCCTCAGTAAAATAAGGGGACATAGGGGCTGGGGATGTGGCTCAAGTGGTAGCGCTCTCGCCTGGCATGCGCGGGGCACTGGGTTCGATCCTCAGCACCACATAAAAAAATAAAGATGCTGTGCCCACCAAAAACTAAAAATTAAATATTAAAAAATTTCTCTCTTTAAAAAAATAAAATAAGGGGACATAGCAATGATTACTTTACCTCCAATCCTTTGCAATCAGCAGGTAAACAAAATCTGTCTGGGCAAAACTATCATGCTATTTAGAAGCAAGATGAGAAACAAGGTAGGTGAGGAGAGGCTAGAGATAGCAAGGTCTAGTTAGGGTGCCAAAATCAGGAAGAAGGCAAGGGAAAACAGGGTAGAGCTCCTATTTTCAGTCCTGCAAATATTTTTTGTTTGAATAAATAATTATTTATTCAGAAAATACCTGGGTTCTCAGAGAATGTCAAACATAAAAACTCATAAACAGTGAAGGAAAGAAAACTCTTTCTACCACCAAACTCACTGTGGAATAAGCAAGTAGGATTAAGTACAATTAACTATCTGAGTTACAGCAACTGAGTCTATGGCAGAGAACATGGGAATGACAGAGGCCACCGGCTCAAGGCACCCAGTGAAATAAGCAGAGAAGGTAGGAAAGACAACCATCGTCAAGAATGGGAGTTTTAGTATCCATTGGGAAGTGTTTCTTAATGACCTAGCCAGAGAATATCCAGGCTCAGATCAGAGGACGGTGAACTATTAGTACTCAAATACTGTAACATTAATAGAGTGGAACTTTGTACTTTCAAGTTTTCTAGAAGCATGTGGTACCTGATCCTTTGGAGATGTAGTACAGCTATTAAGTGGCTGTTGAACTTTCTCCCTGAGTCAGGATAAAAAACAGTAGGACTATCTAGCTGACCTTTCTTATATCAAAGTCTATCAAAATGCCTATAGCAAGAGGTCTGGATTTGTAACCTGGTTATGAAAGACTTCAGTAACCCTGCTCTAGGGTTCCAGAAAGTTTACTACCAGAGTATCTGATTGACCTCCATCAAGATTATCAGTCAGTGAGAGAGTAAAAATAACACAAAATTAGAATGTGAACCTAGGATTCTAATCCAAAAGGTATGCAGAGAAGTCATATAAATGAGTAACATGATCTAACGGAGGGTTTACAACCTTCAGGTCAGTAAGGCCATTTACGTATGGATAAAAGGGAGATTATAGTGAATACATGCACCAAAATCGGGGGAAAAATGTGATTATGAGACAGGAGAGGTTTGGAAATCCAGAGGAAAAAAACATTAAGTCAGCAGGCAAGGAGCTGGTGGTGTCCATGGCCAAAGTCCTTTGACTCCATGGTCTAAAAGAGCACCAGATAGCTTTTTAGACCTATGGTTT